TGAGGACCTGGTATTCTTTGGAAGTGAGGGGGGTAATTTAAAAGAAATATACTTGACCAGGGTCTCCTGGGTAGCTCAGTCCCTTAAGTGTCTGGCTCTTATTAATTTCAGCTCAGGTCATGATCTCACAGTTTATGGGTTTGAGCCCTGTATTGGGCTCTGTGCTAACTGTGCAGAGCCTGCTTGGGATTCTCTCTCGCCCTACCCCTCTTCCCCTCCCCTGATTGCTCTCTCTCTCTCTCTCTCAAAAATAAAGAAAAAACATTTAAAAAAGTGTTTTTAAAGGAAATATACCAGACCAAATAGCTTGCTTGTACAAATGTTAAACAGAACACCATAGTCTGGAAGAACACATGTGAGAGAGGTTCTGAAATCTGAGTGTGCCTTAATGGGTATAGTGATGAAGAGTGATTGCCTTCTTTAAGTTATAGTCAGACCATTGTGCACACCGAGAGCTGTACAAACAATATAAGCCACCTTACCTTCTGTGTTTTCTAAGGAATGGTATGTTTTTCTAAATTATAGCTAGTCCAAATTGTAAAGACCTATGCACAAGTGCCTCCTTATCAGTTAACCATAGCTGGAAAACTCAGAATTGGAATACATATTCATTAGAGTTATTTGATAAATAGGCTTCCTGTAAAAATTTGACCATCATAGGGGCACCTGGGTGTTTCAGTCAGTTAAGCGTCTTTTATTTATTTTATTTTATTTTTTAGCATCCAACCCTTGATTTTGGCTCATACCATGATCCAAGGGTTGTGGGACTGAGTCCCACATCAGGCTCCATGGAGCCTGCTTAAGATTCTCTCTCTGTCTCTCTCTCTCTCTCTCAAAAAAAAAAAAAAAAGTTACTGGAAGAGTGTCCCATAATACAAGAAACTTTTTAGGAATTCAGATATATGATTACTACCCTTTTTTCTAACCTTTATTTATTTTTTGAGAGACAGAGCATGAGCTGGGGAGGGGCAGAGAGAGACACAGAATCTGAAGGAGGCTTCAGGCTCTGAGTTGTTAGCATAGAACCCGACACGGGGCTCGAACCCACGAACCGTGAGATCATGACCTGAGCTGAAGTTGGTGCTCAACGGACTGAACTAGCCCATAGAGGCACCCCATACTACCCTTTTTCCTAAGAGAATTTTAGAGGAGGGTTTCCTCTTTTTTGTACACATGTAATATGGTTGCTGTGTACATTTGGAGCATGTGTTAGAATGGAATACAGCAATACAAAACCTGATTGTTTCTTTTTTTTTAATGTTTTATTTATTTTTGAGAGAGAGATAGCATGAACAGGGGAGGGTCAGAGAGAGAGGGAGACACAGAATCTGAAACAGGCTCCATGCTCTGAGCTAGCTGTCAGCACGGAGCCCGACGCGGGGCTCGAACCCACAAACCATGAGATCATGACCTGAGCCGAAGTCGGACACTTAACCAACTGAGCCACTCAGATGCGCCAAAACCTGATGGTTTCTTAAAAGAATTTTTTTTTAATGCTTATTAATTTTTGAGAGAGAGAGGGAGGGAGGGGCACAGAGAGAGAGAGAGAGGGAGACACAGAATCCAAAGCAGGCTCCTGGCTCTGAGCTGCCAGCACAGAGCCTGACACAGGGCTTGAACTCATTAACTGCTAGATCATGACCTGAGTTGAAGTTGGACACTTTAATCAACTGAGTCACCCAGGTGTCCCACAAAACTTGATTGTTTCAATTTAAAAACTACTATTCTAGGGGGCGCCTGGCTCTTTCAGTTGGTGGGTCATGTGACTCTCTCTCTCTCTCTTTTTTTAAGTTCATTTATTTTGAGAGAGAGAGAGAGAAAGCCTGAGCAGGAGAGGGTCCAAGAGATAGCGATAGAAAGAATCCCAAGCAAGCTTTGCATTGTCAAGACGGAGCCCAGTGTGGGGCTTACTCTCATGAACCGTGAGATCATGACCTGAACCAAAATCAAGAATTGGATACTCAGTGACTGAGCCACCCAGGTACCCCCAGAAGGGTATATTCTTAAGCATTAATGTGATTCTTGGCTTTCCTCTAGGCTAAGTATGATTCTATATGTAGGAATCAGGTTAGAGCAGATCTTGAGTTTTTGCCAGCAAAAGTCATTATTTCAGTAGAGATTTCATCAGTATTGTAGATATGCCAAGTCATGAGTTCTTTTCAAATATAGGAGCTAGTTTATGATAGTAGAAACAATTTTGGCTGTAGAAAGGGAACTGAGTTCTAGTCCAACTATGTGACCTTAGGCAAATCCTTAACTTTTATGTATCTCATTTTCCTCATCTGTAAAACGAGGAATAATTGATTAAACATCTTTTAAAATCTGAAATTATAGGGCACCTGGGTGGCTCAGTTGGTTGAGCCTCAACTCTTGATTTCACCTCAGGTAATGATCTCACAATTCATGAGATCAGGCCACATGGGGCTCAGCACTGACAGCATGGATTCTGTCTCACCCTCTCTCTCTGCCCCTCCCCTGTGCTCCCTTTCTATCTCTCCTTGCCTGTCTCAAAATAAATAAACTTTAAAAAGTCTGAAATTATGGTTTCTTAATGGTTTTGTAAAGATTTAGCTTTATAAAGACATGTTTGAACCTAATCGTATTAGAAACATTGAAAATTCAATCAGGGTGATTCAAAGAAAGGAATGAATTGTGGGCATCTTGCCTGGCTTATAGAATGTTAATAAATCATTGTTACCCATATCAAATTTAACTTCATGACTGATAAACCAATCTCTCTTTCTCCTTTTTCCTCTCTCTCATAATAACAGTTTTATTAAGATAGGATTCACATACCATACAATTCATTCACTTAAACTGTACAATTCAGTAAATTTTAGTATATTCAGAATTGTACAGCCATCACCAGAATCAATTTTAAACACTTTCATCACCCCATAAAGAATGTACCTGTAAACACTTTCCCTTTCCTCTCAAACTTCCAGCTCTAGGCAGCCCCTAATCTACTTTCTGTCTCTATAGATTTGTCTGTTCTGAACATTTCTTATAAATATATGGCCTTTTGTGTCTGGTTTCTTTCACTTAATACTTTCAAGGTTTATCCGTACTATAGTATATCAACACTTTCTTTTCGTTGACAAGCCAGTATTCCGTTGTATACCACATATTATCTGTTCATCATTTTATGGACATTAGGGTTGTTTCCATTTTTTGGGTATTGTGAATAATGCTACTACAAACATTTGTGTGTACTTTTTTGTGTGTGGACATGTTTTTATTTCTCTTGGATATATACCTAGAAGTGGGATTGCTGGCTCTAATGGTTACATTGTGTAATAGTTATTTGAGAAACTGCAAGGCTGTTTTCCAAAGTGCCTGTGTCCATTTACATTCCCACCAGTAATGTACGAGGGTTCTAATTTCTCTGCATCTTCCCTTACAGTTAGTATTTTCTCTCGTTTTGATTTTAGTCATCCTAGTTCATGTGAAGTGGTGTTTCTTTGTGATTTGATTTGCATTTCCCTGATGGGTAAGGATGTTGAGCATCTATTCATGTGCTTATTAAGGCTCCCTCTTTGGCTGACTTCTGATGTGGGAATGTGATGTGGTTGAAGTTGATCTCCTTTAGCTCTTTTCCCTAAAGTGTCAACTGAACATTTTGAAGTATCAAATAAGCAATCTCTTCTTACTACTGGTAGAGAGTAAATCAAAGCCGTAATTTAATCCACACATCTGTTTTCATCTTTATTTCTGTAAAATGTAACAACAGAGAATTTTATTGGAAGTATGGCCTGTATTTTACATTTAATCTTTTTAAACTTTTTATTTATTTTTGAGAGAGTGAGAATGAGCAGCGGAGGGACAGAGAGGGAGACAGAATCCCAAGCAGGCCTCTGCACTGTCAGCACGGAGCTCAGTGTGGGGCTCTAACCCACAAACCATGAGATCATGACCTGAGCCGAAACCAAGGGCTGGATGTTTAACTGACAGAGCCACCCACACACCCCAATATGACCTGCATTTTAGTTGGAATTGTTACCTATCTTTGGTTGGGGGACAGAACTTTCATTGATATATTTTAACACCAAAATCTTGGCAATTTGCTTAAGCTTTCAAATGTTCATGAATAAAACAGCAGCATAGAAAGTGGTATCTTAGTCACGCAGGGACACCTGGGTGGCTCAGTCAGTCTTGCATCCAGCTTTTGATTTCAGCTCAGGTCATGAACGTCACGGTTCATGGGTTTGAGCCCTGTGCTGACAGCTCAGAGCCTTCTTGGGATTCTGTCTCCCTCTCTCTCTGCCCCTCCCTCACTTGTTTAGTCTCTCTCAAAATAAATAAAAATAAACTTAAAAAAATATCTTAGTCACACAAAGATGTGAATGAAGCATGTCTGAGAATCTGGTAGAAAACCTTTTCACTTTTATAGTAGCCCTATTTCCCTTATATTATGAAAGTTTTGTGTATTAAGATGTGTAATTGTTTTTCGTGAGCATTTTTAACTTAGGATGTGGCCTAAAATAGGTTAGTTTGAAATGACACTTTTGTTAATACAAACTTAATTTATTAAATTAAGAATATTTAGTTTTAGGGGTGCCTGGGTGGCTTAGTCGGTTGAGCGTACGACTTTCGCTTAGGTCATGATCTCGCGGTTCGTGGGTTCGAGCCCCGCGTCGGGCTCTGTGCTGACTGCCAGCTCGGAGCCTGGAGCCTGTTTCAGTCTGTGACACCCTCTCTCTCTGGCCCTCCCCTGCTCACGCTGTCTCTCTCTCTCTCCTAGAAATAAATAAAACATTAAAAAATTAAAAAAAAAAAAAGAATATTTAGTTTTAGGGGCACCTGGCTGGCTCAGTCGATAGATCTAGCATGTGACTCGATCTCAGGGTTGTGAGTTCAAGCCCCACATTGAGTGGGAAGCCTACTTAAAAAAAAAAAAAAAAAAGTAGAGATTTTGCTCTTAAAAATGTTAATTGTTGCAATCTAGATTTTGTCTTAGTTCAGTCAGATTTGTGAAGTAATGTTTTTTATTTCCATTCCAGAAATACATGCTACAGGATTTAACTATCAGAATGAAGATGAAAAAGTCACCTTGTCTTTTCCTAGTACTCTCCAAACAGGTAAGAGTCGTGGCTTTTGTAAAATCCCATGATGAATAGTGACATCTTATTTCTTCCAAGGAAATTTGTTGCCATTTTTTTTTCTCACTGGTTTAAGCAGATTAAATATGAAGACAGCTTTTGAAAGAGGATCATTACAGCTTTGGGGCCATCAGGAAAAAAGACGACAAAGCTAACGATCATTCTGTCCTAGAACATAATGCATTGTTTTTCACCTTTTTAGTTTCAACTTTTTAAAACTACAGTTACCCAGCTCTGTCTTTCAGTAATTGAATCTACATGTCTGAGGTGAATGTCTCACCAATGATTTTGATGTATATTATGCAAGGGAGAGCATGGAAGGAAATATTTGTTGATATGGTACTATTATCAGGCATTAAAGCACAAAGAAAAAAGAAGACTCTCTGAGCTTAATGTAGTATAAGAAATTACATACAAGTCAATTGGTAAACCACTATGACTTTGATTTATGATCAATTGAAAAGCAACAGTTGGAGGCACTTGTGATGAGCACTGGGTGTTGTATGGAAGTATTGAATCACTATATGGTAAATCTGAAACTAATATAATACTGTGCATTAACTGGAATTAAAATTTTTTTTAAAGCAACAGATAATTTGTATAAAAGAAAATGCAAATGACTAAGACATGTGAAAAGATAGTTGGCTTCCTAGTAATGAGAAATATGAAAACAGCAGTTTCTGCTATACCTGTTTTTTTCTGTTATATAAGCTAAAGTTAAAAAAAAAAAAAGGATTCTTAATGATTTGACTTCTTTGATATTGCTGGTGGGAGTGCAAATCCATGCAATGTATTTGGAAGGCAGTTTGGAAATATGTATCAAAAGCTTGGGGCGCCTGGGTGGCTCAGTCATTTAAATGTCTTATCTTGGCTCAGGTCATGATCTCACAAACTGTGAGATCAAGCCCCCTGTCAGGCTATGTGCTGACAGCATAGAGCCTACTTGGGATTCTCCCTCTCCCTCTCTTTCTGCCCCTTCCCTGTTCGTGCTCTCTCTTGTACTCTCAGAAAAAATAAACTTAAAGAAACATGTCTAAACATGTTCATGTTTTTTGACTCAGCGGTTCTGGTAATAGGAATATATAATAAAGAAAAATCATAAATTCAAGAAATGCTTGATGCTTAGAAATGTCTATTGAGACGTTACTTAAGATAGTAAAAAATTAGAATAAGTATATTTACCCAACACTAAGGGAATAATTAAGCTAATTATGACATAGCAGTATGGTGGAAAATATATAGCAATTAAAAGTGAGGTTTATAAATTCTTAACACTTTGAAGTGCTTATTATAATGTAAAATCAAAAAGCAGAATACAAAATTACATATACAGGGTGATGAATCATATCCCTCAAATTGTACAAATAAAATGATTATGTCTGGTTGTTGACATATTGCTTATTTTTATTATTTATACCTTTTTTTAGTTTCCATACTTTTAAAAAATGTTTATTAATCTATTTTGAGAGACAGAGTATAAGCAGGTTAGGGGCAGAGAGAGCGAGAGGGAGGGAGGTAGGGATGGAGGTAGGGGGAGAGAGAGAGAGAGAGAGAAAATCCCAAGCAGGCTCTGCACTGTCAGCACAGAGCCCAACATAGGGCTCAAACTCCTGAACTGTGAGATCATGACCTGAGCTGAAATCAGGAGTCAGAAGCTAAACCAACTGAGCCACCTGGGTACCCCAGTTTCCATAGTTTTTATACTGGTAATATATTGCCTTACTATAATAGTGTTTTCAGAAAAATTAAAAAAAAATTTTTTTTTACATTTATTTGTTTTTGAGAGACAGAGCACAAGTGGGGGAGGGGCAGAGAGAGAGGGAGACACAGAATCCGAAGCAGGCTCCAGGCTCTGAGCTGTCTGCACAGAGCATGACATGGAGCTTGAACTCACAAACTGTGAGATCATGACCTGAGCCGAAGTCGGACACTCATGACTGAGCTACCCAGGCTCCCCTAGAAAAATTTTAAATTGAAGAAGTTTCATCTTTTATTTCAGTGCTCTTTTCATTTTGCCCTTTTCTAACTAGGATTTCTTGTTATGAAACTATTATAAAAATACATGTTTTGCCATGAACACATATTAAAAGATACTGAAGAATGTAACATTAAAATTGAGATTTCTCTTCCTCTGACCCCTTCCATTGTCTGGTTAATCCTTCCAGAAATATTTTATGTATGTATAAGTATATGCATGCATTTTAATCTACAAATGAGATGACAAATCTCAGTGGCTTACAACAGAGAATTCTTGCTTGCCCATGTCCCTGAGGATTGCTGTAGGCGTCTCTCCACCTTTGCCTAAGAGCTCCACTCAGCTCACAGCTCTTCTCATTCTGGCACCTGTAAGTAAGCAGCTACTGTCTGCAGCTCAGGGATGGAGACAGAGACAAATCATAAAGATACATTTAAGGCTTCTGCATGAATGGTGGTATACTTGATGTCCATTCTCATTTCACTGGCTGAAGCAAATAGCATAGCTGAGCCTAAAGTCACTGGGGTAACAGTTAACCAGATATTTGATTAAACTTCTATGAAAGAGTAAAAAACCAGACAATAATAGAAAGATAGGAACTTGCTAGAAGTAAAGACCAAAAAAAAAGTCAGAAAACGCCCACAAAACAAATGAATATCCTTAGAGATACTCTTAATAGCACATTCATTAAACGAGAACAGGACAGAATGTTATCAAACAGAAAGAATTAGAGCAAGAAAACTTTGGAAATTATAATACAATAGAAATAAAAAACTCAGGGCGCCTGGGTGGCGCATTTGGTTAAGCATCCGACTCTTGATTTAGGCTCAGGTCATGATCTCCTGGCTTATGAGTTCAGGTCCTGTGGGGCTGGGCACTGACCGTGCAGACCCTGCTTGGGATTCTCTCTCTCTGCCCCCTCTTGCACGCACGCTTGTGCTCTCTCTCTCTCAAAATAAATAAACAAAAACTTAAAAAAAAAAAAAAACCCAATAGAAGTTTTGGAAAATGAAATAGAGGAATCTTACAAATGGTAGACAGATTTGAGGACCGATCTATCAGAACCAACATCCATCTAGTAGAAGCGGACAGAGGAAGTGAGAAGAGAAAATTATTAAAGACACAAACAAAATTCCTTTGAACCGAGGGGATTGGAATCTTCATTCTGAAAAGATACACCACTAATAGTGACAAAATAAATGTAAAAAATCCCATAGCAATGCAAATCTTAGAAAAGTGAGGCCCTCAAACTGTTTCTTCCCAGAGTCAGGAGGTTGGGAGGAAGGAGGGAAGGCCAGCAGGTTACCTTTCAAGTTCAGGAATCAGAATAACAGTAGACTGGAGAGTGGGGGTGGGCAAAATGGGTGAAAAGGAATGGGAGATACTGGATTCCCCTTACAGAATGAGTAAGGCAGGGGGATCCTAGGCGCAGCATAAGAAACATAGTCAGTGGCATTGTAATAGGTGGTATGGTAACAGGCGGTAGCTACACTGGTAGTGAGCACAGCAAAGCTTATAGACTTGTCAGATCTCTATTTTACACCTGAAACTAATGTAACATTGTGTGTCAACTATACTTGAATGAATAATATTTTTTAAAAAAAGGAATAGACCATCAGGAAACTAGACCCTAATGATGCCATTTCTTCAAAATTATGAATATGATTTTCAACCTAGAATTAATTCTATGCTTAGCCAAATTGTGAACTTAAAGAGGGTAAAGATATTTTCAGATTTGCATGGTCATAAAAAGCTTTAATTCTTCATAAAAGATGTAGGAAGGGGAGATGTAATTTAGCTACAACTTTACTTTCTATAGTAAGAAGAAAATAAAGTGTAAAATTGAAAAGTGAAGAAATAGCTATTTAAGCAAGGTATTTAGAAATCACAGAGTTGGGGTGCCTGGCTGACTCCATTGAGAGGTTAAGCTTCTGACTCTTGATTTCTGCTCAGGTCATAATCTCATGGTTTGTGAGATAGAGCCCCACATAGGGCTCAGCACTAAACAGCTTGAAGCCTGCTTGGGATTCTCTCGCTCTTGCTCTCTCTCTGCCCCTCCCCCTGTGTCTGTCTCTGTGTGTGTGTGTCTCTCTCTCTCCCTCTTAAAATAAAGAAACATTAAAAAAAATAATAAAGGGGCACCTGAATGGCTTAGTCAGTTGAGTGTCTGACTTCAGCTCAGGTCATGATCTTGTGGTTTGGGGGTTCAAGTCCCACATTGGGCTTGTTGCCATCAGCCTGTCAGCACAGAGCCTGCTTCTGGTTATCTGAACCCCCCCCTTCCCCCATGCATGCTCCCTTGCTCTGTCTCTCTGTAAAATAATAAAACATAAAAGTTTAAAAAATAATAATAAAAATAAAATTCAAATGATATATAGTAGAAATGTGTTTGCCATTCTAGTCCTTTCTAACTCAGCTCTACTCGAAAGCAACCAGTTTCCTATGTATCCTTTCAAAACTATTTCATAGTTTTGTAAACATTTCTGTATATACTATTTAAGAATACAGGCGTTAGGGGTAGCTGGGTGGCTCAGTCGGTTGAACGTCGTCTTTTGGTTTTGGCTTGGGTCATGATCTCATGGTTTGTGGGTTTGAGCCCTGCATGGGGCTCTGTGCTGACAGTGTGGAGTCTGCTTGGGATTCTCCCTCTTTGCCCCTCCCTCGCTGGCTTTCTCTCTCTAAATAAGTAAATAAATAAACAAACCTAAAAATATATTTAAAAAAACAGAAAAAACATAGACATTAGCATGCCATACATCATATTCTGTAACCTTCTTTTCCTGTGTGTGTGTGTGTGTGTGTGTGTGTAAATAAAAGAGGTCAGTTATCAGTATATAAGAGCTGCATCATTCTTGATGAGGACTGTTTATAACAGACATAGTAAATTGTGAAGTCATTCCTAATAAAAGCAGGAACAGGTCAGAGGAGGTTATGACCTTTAGTATACTATAATTTGACAGAGTTTTGGAGATTTTTAGCTAATACAACAATAAATAAGTAACATAAATATTAAAATTAAGAAATTATCTTATTTGAGATGCGACTATATTGATTATTGAACATCTGTAAAAATTTGTTCGAAAATTATTGGCTTTCACATTTTTCCAAGATTCTCTGGGCCACAATTACCCTTTTTCTTTGCTTTAAAAATGATGTCCTTGGGGCGCCTGGGTGGGGCAGTTGGTTAAGCATTAAACTCTTAATCTTGTCTCAGGTCATGATAGTTCTAGGCATTGGCCTCTGCGTGATGGTGCTGAGCCTACTTGGGATTCTGTCTCCCCTTCTCCCTGACCCTCCCCTGCTTGTGCTTGCTCTCTCTCTCCCTCAAAATAAATACTTAAAAAAAATTTTTTTTAAATGATGTCCTTATTTTTTCATGTTTCCCCCTCGAGTTTTAATAGGTTGCACAAGCATTCTCTCTTCTGATAATGGAATAAATATGGAGAATATATTGAGAGGACATTAGTAGTCTCTGTGTTTAGCCTCATCAGAGTTAACAGTCATGCCAGCTATTTCATAGCTCAGTAAAACATTTCCTTTTCTGAATTTGGCACATTCTAGAATAGAGGTTAAATTACTATGATCATTGTAAGCTCACAACAACCTCAGAATCATCTGTTAAGGATCCTACAGAGTGGTGTGTATTTGGAAAAACACTAGGTGATACTGACATTTCGAAGAGTGAAAAACAGGATCACAGGAAATGGTGACATGAAGGCAGAGACCTTTACTCCATTTTTAAACAAATTAATTATCTGTCTAATTTTTTAGCATTTAGTCAGCTCATTAAATTTTTATTGAAGTATTTCAAGGTCTACATGAGGTTTTACAGCAATTATATCCTTCTAAGCAGGAAACCAAATAAGGTTTTTGATAGAAGTTGCACTTTTTCTGTTGTTTAACTTATAAATTAGTTTATTGTATGTTTTAGAAGTTTTTAAAAGGTTTATCATTTTAAGTAGATAAGTATTGCATACACTGGATATTGAAATAAGGTGTCTAATGTGAGGAACAATGTAGATTTTGTACACAAACAGGTATAGAATTAGACAATCTGGCATTCAGTTCTTCAGTGTGCTGTAAATTTGATAAGTTGACACGTATTAAGAAGTCTTTTCTCTCCTGTTTTTGCCCTAAAATTCTACTATATTAGTGTATTTTGTAATTAGTATCATATAATGTGTCACTAGTTACATTTATTAATGATTTTTTAAAACTTTAACTTGTGTTTGTTTGAATTTCAGGTAATAACCTTTTCCAATACTTTGTATTTTGTTTAGTATGTCACTTTTTTGGAAGTGGTCACTATCAATATCTTGTTATGGTTTGATGGCCTTGGAGATTTAAAACTGAGTAAAAGTGTAACCAGCCTTGCTTATTTAGTTATGAGTTTTAAATCCATTTTTATTCCAAATAGGAAAAGGCAAAAGTAGATTTCCCATGGAGTATGAATTTCATAAAAGATATTTTAATAGTTGACCTAGTGAAAACAGATTGGCCAGTTCCATTATGGAATTGCAACATAAAATTCCATCATATACTTCTCTTTAAAGGTAGTGGGTTTTTATAATCTATTAGATATTCCTCGTAAACTCTATTAATGTGAATATATCTGCTTTTTTAAAGATTAGTGAATTCCTAAAGAAAATAGGTAGAAATTTTATACTATATAGTTAAATTCTTCCGTGTATAATACTATAAATAAATATATCATTTAGTATCACTCATTTAGAATTCTTTCACATTCTTTTATTGTGTTTTGATTTACTGTCCCAGAAATCTGTCATTCTCTTTAAGAAAGTAATAACTGTCCCCTTCAGACAGAAGGGGATTTTTAAAAAATAGGAGTCATAAACATTTATTCAAATAAGCTTCAGTTTTTTTCCCAGCATGATTACTTTAAGAATAGGGCACTTTTGGGTGCCTGGCTGGCTGGTCAGTAGAGCATGCGACCCTTGATCTTGGGGTCATGAGTTCGAGCCCCACGTTGGGTACAGAGCTTATTTAGGGAAAAAAAAGAATATGAAGCTTTGTTGAATGATGACTTAGCCACAAAGGTCTGAAATTTTCACTTGAAATTACTTTCAGAATGAGTTTGAGGTACATATGAAAATCAGTTTAATTACTTAATTGACATACTTAATAGACCACAGTGTTTTGTCTAAAAACAATTTGCAATTTTTCATTCACTTATTTTGTAGACTTGGACTCTTTGTGACTTTTGGACTTTTTAAGAAAATCAATTGGGGGGTGCCTGGATGGCTCAGTCGGTTAAGTGTCCAACTTCGGCTCAGGTCATGATCTCATGGTTCGTGGGTTCGAGCCCCATGTCAGGCTCTATGCTGACAGCCAGCTCAGAGCCTGGAGCCTGTTTCGGATTCTGTGTCTCCCTCTCTTCCTTAACCTCCCCTGCTTTCTCTCTCTCTCTCTCTCTCTCTCTCTCTCTCTCTCTCTCAGAAATAAATAAAAAACATTAAAAAAAATTTTTAAAAATCGATTGAATTTTGCAAAGTGGAAGATTTGACTTTGAGAACATCCAAGAATATGTCAGAGAGATAAAGAGTCAAGAACATTTTAAACAATGTCAGGGTCATTGCTCTATGGCATTCCAAAATGACAGTTTAAAACATTAGGATATAAAATGTTTTAGAATGATTGCCTAATTACTTTATAGTCATACTATGTCTTTGATTTGTTGGATTCCCACGCTCTAGCTCCTGTTATAAATAAGCACTTAAAAGAATCAATTCAAAGTCAACATTTTTCTGGTTGGTTTTGGGGGAGGAGGGATTTAATTTATAAAATGTAGAATGGGATTATTGTTTTGTCATGCATCTAAATAGATAATAATTATAATCTTTTTTCTGTTATCAGAGAAAGTATATATACTCAAGAAAACTCCAATTTTGTCTAATCTGGGTTTGCCCTTATACAACAATGAAATATATATTCAAGTTGCATTTTTATTTGCATTTAGTAATTATTGATTAAATGTATTTCTTTAACATTATCATTTCAAATGACTGAGGTGACTAAGAGTTTTTTTTATGCCCTTTTGCCAGCCAAATCCTTGATCTTTGATATATAGTTCTTTACAGCAATAGGGAATCAGTGTTCCATTTGGATTGAAAAGATAAGGTCTTATCTTACTGATAGAGTAATTGGCATGAACTCATCTCAGTGGACCAATTTGTATGGCATAATTGGCAGAGGACATGAATTTTGGATTAAGCAGGCCTAAATTTTTATCTCATTCTTGCTATTTACTAATCGTGTGATCTTAGGCAAGTTATTTAACTTTTCAATTTCAGTTTCCTCATCTGAAAAAAATGGAGACTATACCTACTTCCAAGTTTCTAAATATTTTTAAAGCACCATGCACAGTAGCCTGTCATACATTTATTAACAAATGTTCATTTCCTTTCCTGTTTTTATCTTTATGTATTGGTGATTTGAGATTAAGTTAATATAGTTAAAGAACTTTCTAAGTAGTTACCTTTCTAAGCAGTCACCCTAAACATGATGTTAAGATTTACTTTAGAATTAGTTTGCCATTTCCTTTAGTAAATACTGTATTCTCTCCATTGCCGGGAGAAGTGTTTGAGAAAGGAAAGAATGATTCAAACATTGTAAAGAGTCAACTAAGTTGGTGTCTGAAGGACATATTTTTAATAATGAGTTTAATATCTATATTAAAGTGGTTTTCATTCATCTTCAATCACAGGTACAGGAACCTTAAAGATAGATTTTGTTGGAGAGCTGAATGACAAAATGAAAGGCTTCTATAGAAGTAAATATACTACCCCTTCTGGAGAGGTGCGTTATGCTGCTGTCACACAGTTTGAGGTATGGTCTTCTTCTCTAAAATATTATGATCTCAATGTATAAACATTCTGACAAAGTTCTGTTCTATTATTTGCATGATTATTTCAGGCTAGGCACCTTTGGCCATAATTATATTCATGATTTCAGAATTTTTATTTTATGTTGAGCCAGTTGTCTCCATTATAGAGGGAGAGAAATAGAGATGTAGGCTGGAGGATATCTTTTCTCCCCTTGTAGGACAGTATATTATTTTGTTTTGCTTTGTTTCCTTCCTGATTGCTTGTTAAATTATTTTCTTGTACTTAATTAAAAAACTTTAACCAGGTATTCACTTTTTATTAACTTTTACATAATAATTGGTCAACGTTATTGATGTCCACATTCAGGTCTTCAGTATAGCAAAGTTTTCTTCTATTACATTACCACTGTGGTTTCTACTCTGTTCTCTTCATATTGGTTTATGTCTAATATCTGTTCCTCAAATGAATTTTTGATTGCTTTCATCACTTTGTCTTTTGTATATTGAGAAAATTTTTTTTGCAACTTTTAAATCTTATTATCCATGTTAATTCATTTAATTTCCTCTAGTAAAAATTCATTTCTCTACTGCTGCTGCTCCTAATTTAAAAGTTTTCTGTGCTATATTTCTTTCCTTATAATCTTACTTACTTTTCAAATAAGTAAGTAGAATGAATCCATCATTTATTTAACTTCTTTGAGAGTGCAATCAGCCATCTAACATTTTCCTTGGAGAAACTTTTTTCCAAAAGTCTATGTTTTCTCTACTTCTGACTAATTGGTTCTATGATTTTTTTTTTTTTTTTACTTTCATTCTGTTTCATTAAAGTGTCTTTCATAACTGGTATTCTACTGAACCACTAAACTTTATTTTACTTAACATGTTTGCTCCTTTTTTTTTTTTTTTTTTTTTTTTTGAGAGAAAGAGAGAGAGTGCAAGCGAGGGAAAGGGGCAGAGGGAGAGAGAGAGTCTTAAGCAGATGACATGCTCAGCATGGAACCCAATGTGGAGCTCGAGCTCACAACTGGGAGATCATGATCTGAGCTAAAATCAAGAGTCAGATGCTCAACTGACTGAGCTACCTAGGTGCCTTTCTTAAAAAACAAATTTGCTCTTTCTTTTTTTTAAAGGAAAAAATGAGATCTCTTTAAGTAGGTCAGGTGTCAGCAGTTTTATATGTAGTATATGTAAATGCCGTTAAAACGAATGACCTGTTTAGAGCTGATAAGAGCATCTGTCTGTATTCTTGTTGCTGTCATTTCGGATGAAGAACAAAGCACATCAAAGATTCTGGAGGAAATTTTTTTTTTTTTTAAGAAAAGCCAGAGAAGCAACCTATCTATGTTTCCAGCTCTGAATCCTTACTGTGTACTTGCTGATCTTCCTGTGCTGTGTTTTTTAACATTACTGCTGAAGCCATTTGCAGTGAATTTTTGAAATGTTGAAATATTTTGTTTAAATAAAAATATTCTGGGGTGCCTGGGTGGCTCGATTGGTTAAGCATTTGACTTCGCGTCAGGTTCTGTGCCAACTGCTCAGAGCCTGAAGCCTGTTTCAGATTCTGTGTCTCCCTCTTTCTCTGTCTCTCCCCCACTCATGGTCTGTCTCTCTCTGTTTCAAAAATAAATAAAAACTATAAAAAAATTTATTAAAAAATTCTAAAACAGTCTAATACTATATACTATTAAGATCTGCTGTAGACCTAATACCTGGACTATTGTTTACTATTTATGTTTGTTTGTTTTGGGTTGCTGATGTGGCAGGGATAGTAAGTCTCATGTTTTCTCTGTCTTCACTGCCTTGCTTGTTGCCTGACACTGAGTAGAAAGTAAATATTTAAACAAGTGAAGGAATGGATGATAGAAATAAGATAATGACTGTTACTTTGTGAAATAGTTTGTTCGGTTAATCCAGTAATATTTATATTTCATATTCTTCTCTTAAGGCTACGGATGCCCGGAGGGCTTTTCCTTGCTGGGATGAGCCTGCCATCAAAGCAACTTTTGATATCTCATTGGTTGTTCCTAAAGACAGAGTAGCTTTATCAAATATGGTATGTATGTGTTTGTAAGTATATTTAAATTCTGAGTAAGTGTTTAGAATATTTTGTTTGCTGGTTAGATGGAATAGGAGGAAAATACCTAGCACAATGCTTGATACAGAATGGGAACACAAATGTTAATTTTCTTTATATCCAGTAAGCTCTCTTTTTTTAAGTTGCCTTATTTGGAATTTCCCTCCTCATGGAAGAAGTTCCTTATAAACTTTAATTTGGAAAACTAAGTAAGTGATGGGTTTAATAAATATTACCTGAGAAAAAAATCTGACTTTCGTATTAATAATGCTAAAAGATATAGCCATATAATGAAGTGTGTATTTAGGTTTTTGATTGATGTGTATTCTTGGAATATGTTCTTTTCACTGATGTCATTGATCTCTTTCATAAATAGAGTAAGCATTTACCACTTGAAATATATTGATTAAGACAGCAAGTACCCTATAGCCTGTAATATGAATCCGGGGCACTTGGAAAAGCCTACTGTACCTGGAAATAACTGGCTTTTACCTCATGTATTGGTAGGGAGAATTCCATAGCTATAATGCCATTCTCTTCTTGAATATTCCTAGAAAAGAGAATAATATATTTAACTGAGATATTATTCTACAATTTAGAATGAATGAATTTATCAGTTCTGTCTTGAATAAGTTTTCTTTGGAAGAAAGAATAGAGAGATCTTAAGGAAACAGAACCTGAATAGGAAAAAGAGTTAAAGAAATTAGGAACTCTATAGGTAAAGTGGAGATTCTTCCACAAATTTGCTTAGAACAAGCCTTGGTATAGAGGATGCACTAAATTTAGAAATCTGTACCCTTTGAAATGTAGGTTTCACAATTACACTTCAGTAATAATTATTGTCTTCTATCCTTCTTTCACTTGAAAAGCACTGAGGTCTTACTTAAAACATCCCAGTACCTTACTTAAAACATCAGGGAAAGTTGCTTCTTTTCTCTCACAGATCCTTGGTAGTTTTAACACATTAGCCCCCAACCTCTTAACATATCCTTCTTTTTTTTTTTTTTTATTATTATTTATTTCTAGGAGAGAGAGAGAGACAGTGTGAGCAGGGGAGGGTCAGAGAGAGAAGGAGTCACAGACTGAAACAGGCTCCAGGCTCTGAGCTGGCAGTCAGCACAGAGCCCGACGCGGGGCTCGAACCCACGAACCGCGAGATCATGACCTAAGCGAAAGTCGGATGCTTAACCGACTAAGCCACCCAGGCGCCCCAACATATCCTTCTTTTTAAAAAATTTTTTTTCGGGGCGCCTGGGTGGTTCAGTCAGTTAAGCATCCAACTTCAGCTCAGGTCATGATCTCACGGTTCATGGGTTCGAGCCCTGTGTCGGGCTCTGTGCTGACAGCTAGCTCAGAGCCTGGAGCCTGCTTCAGATTCTGTATCTCCCTCTCTCTCTGATCCTCCCCTGCTCACCCTGTGTCCCTCTTTCTCTCAGAAATAAATAAAACATTAAAAAATAAATTAAATAAATAAATGTTTTTCAATGTTTATTTACCTTTGAGAGAGAGAGCTGAGCAAGTGGGGGAGGGGCGGAGAGCGAGGGAGACACAGAATCTGAACCATGCTCCAGGCTCTGAGCTGTCAGTACGGAATCCAAGACGGAGCCCAAACTCATGGACTGCGAGATCATGACCTGAGCTGAAGTCTGAGGCTCAATCGACTGAGCCACTCAGGCGCTTCTGTCCTTCTTAACAGGAGAGATTTTGACAGCATAAAAGCAGTGGTTGAACTGGGATAGATAAGTAAGCAGTACTGGAAAGGGGGAAGGAGAGGCAAGCAACACAGTTTATGGCTAGTATTTGCCCTATGGTATTTAATATAAACCTGTTTAAGTTTTCTTTCTTTCTTTTTTTTTTTTAAAGAATGTAATTGATCGGAAACCATACCCTGATGATGAAAATGTAGTGGAAGTGAAGTTTGCCCGCACACCTGTCATGTCTACATATCTGGTGGCATTTGTTGTGGGTGAATATGACTTTGTAGAAACAAGGTCAAAAGATGGTGTGTGTGTCCGTGTTTACACCCCTGTTGGCAAAGCCGAGCAAGGAAAATTTGCGTTAGAGGTAAATGTACTTGAAGAGGATTGTTCCAACAGTCCATAACTCCAGGTTGGGGAATTTACATTTCTGATCAATTATTAGTACAGTTATTTATAATTTAGTCTGAAATTTGTTGTGCTACTTTGATTTTATTTTTAATAGAATTTTGGAATTACCAACCTTGGTGTTATATTAACATTTTACAAGATAATGATTAAGAGAATATTAGAGTGGAATTTATTTATCCAGACAGTGGGTGGGAAAATATGTTATATAGTTTTCATACCAAGTTATAAATGGCTAGCATTAACAAAGTTTGGGACTAAGGTAGTCTCTGGAGGTAGGGCTCCCCAGGGTTGGTTTCTAGTAACTTGAGATGCTTTGGCTTGCAACAGGATTCCTGTGTGGATTTCTATAGGAACTACAGTGAAATATTTATCAGGTGGTTCTTTTGTTTATACTTTTGTAGGTTGCTGCTAAAACCCTGCCTTTTTATAAGGACTACTTCAATGTTCCTTATCCTCTACCTAAAATTGATCTCATTGCTATTGCAGACTTTGCAGCTGGTAAAGTAAATTTCATTTTATTGCTGAATTGTAATAACTTTTTTGAATTTTGCGATTTTGAGGAAGAAGTGTGACATATATCAATAAATGTTTATATTTATTTTATGAAGGTGCCATGGAGAACTGGGGCCTTGTTACTTATAGGTATGTTAATGTATTACCCTGCCTTTTCTTTTCAATCACTGATTTCATAAGAGCTTCACTCCTACTTGCAATTGAGTAGCTTCTGCCTTATGATCTGCTATAAATTTTCCTACCTCCCCCACTTCTGTGCACATTTCAGGAATGCACATGAACACCCTCTGGTGCTACTATCTGAGATAGTAAGATTTTAAAGTGAGCATCTGGCATTAGTAACATTTTTAGATATATTTTTGGCTGAGTTTCTCATTTCGGTGCCTTCTCTTCCTCCCAGGAGTTTCATAGTTATTTTTCCAGCTTGAAGAACCTTCTCTGCTTTAATATTTTCTAGCCAGGGTTTTACATGTCTGTCACCACAATACAAACATGTGGGTTGTATAATTTTTAAAGCCAGGTCTGTAAACAAGTTTTTGCCCCGCCTTCTTCATTGAGTTAAGTTTTGGACAGCCTGCTTAGTGTTCTTTTGGGGACTGTGGAATGCATCTTTCCCCACTTTGCCAATCCCCTTCTTTTAATGGAAGGACTGTCCTCTCTCTGTCTAGCACAATAACCCCTAATCCCTTAGACTAAATTTTTTTAAAATTTCAAGCAGCTGTCCTGTTTACAGACTGATGACTAAACTTGTGTCACACCTTTGATCTTCTGTTGTATGAATTATGTTGGAATAGTCTTTAATCTTCTGGAGCCTTTTCTATTCTGTATACTTGGAGGAAATGTTTTCTTGACATCTCTAAAGCCTAACTTGACCGTCTTATTTATTATTTGAATCTCCCTCCCCCATTTGTGCATGCCTGCTTTTATTGCAATACTTTTATTGTTTAAAAAAATTTTTTTTGAACACACAGGGAGACTGCATTGCTTATCGATCCAAAAAACTCCTGTTCTTCATCACGCCAGTGGGTTGCTCTGGTTGTGGGACATGAACTCGCCCATCAATGGTTTGGAAATCTTGTTACTATGGTATTTAATATTTTTAAGTGCTCAAATATATTTATCTTCATCCTGCTGCACATTATTTTGGCTACATAGTATTTCAGGTTTGACTAGAACACTGTGCTAAAAAATAATTAATCAGAAAATCTTTATTTTAGAAAATCCACTTTGAAAAGTGTTTACCAAAATCTCCGTGTTAACCATGTGGACATGTGGACAGTCTTTATTCAACACAAAACACTTCCTAAACTGTTGTAGGATTTGCCTACAAATGGGAAGTCATGATACTAATTTGGGTGAGAGAAAGGGTACAGAGATCTCTTAGGTACAGAGATTCCATGCAGTGAGATGCCAGGTTGACCCTAGTTTCTCGAGGATATTTATTATGTAGTTCAGCAGCTGAAAAGTAACCTGATGAATAACAACACGATCTTTGATTAGGCTAAAATGTGTTTAGGGGTCAGTTTTCTCATTGACTAACATGTTAAGTTGAAATTTGATAGAAATGAAAGCAAAGAAAGGAATAACTATAAAATGTATTAAAATTTCCAACTGGCCTTTTGACATTGTTGTTTATTGTAATGTTTGCAATAAATCATCTCTGTCCTTAAGTTTTGACATTTCCCTCTTACTCTAAATAAGTGCTAGCTATGGCTATGGCAGGCAGCTGTGTTAGAGCCTGGAAGCACAGGGTTTAACGCGTGAACTAGAAGTACTCTGAAGAGGAAGAACTAGAGGCTGGAGCCAGCCAGATTCCCTGATAGTATTTTAGGCTGCCAAAGAGCAGAACCTGACTTGGATGTTAGTTGAGTCCATATGTCACAGGAATAAGCAAGAAAGTAAGACATTTAACAACTGTTACGTGTCTGAGAGTTTTTAAAGAAAGCCAGCCCTTGAAATTAAACCATGTCCTTTTGCTTTGGATGTTTAAAATTTTACGTTGGGGTGGAAAAAATTTTTGGAATATAATTTCATGTGGAATTAAGTATGCTAGTAAACTACCATCAGTACATTTTAGTAGGTGGAATGTGCACATTCTCAAATTGCTTTTAAACAACTTTTTACTGGATTTGAGTAATCGTTCTAGTTGTTAGATGTCAGTTGTTTCATTAACTGAAATTTAAGGGCTTAATGACAGGTTGGTGAATAGCTAGCTCTGTACCAGCTTATCTTCGTGGAAGCTACTAGTTAAATAAGCTCACAAAGCACTTAGACAAATAGCCTTTCATCACTTAATATTGAAAATATCTGATCTTTTCAGAATTTGAATGCCTTTTTGTTTTTCACCATTGCTTAACTGACTGAGCCACCCAGGCGCCCCAGTTTTTCACCAATGCATTAGTCCTTTAGCATCTATCATGGATTCTTATATTGATTTCTTTAAGAGAGCAAATCAACTTTAATGAAACTTAGATTACAGTCTCTTTCTAAAAAGTTGATCTTTTTTAAAGTTGATTTTGTCTGTGACTCATTTATTTTCCGTGTCCACTCTACTATTAATTCTTATTAACAGGTGAGAATTTTGTATTCTGTAAATACTTAAACAACATTCATTACTGAACTACTTACTGCCATGATATTTCTGTTAATTTTACCTAATCCTTATATAAGCGGTATTGCTTTTCTGTTCATCTAGAAAGTTTAACTCGTCAATTGATAGTAATTTTTCTCAGTCATTATAAAAATCCTTCCCAGTTTTCCTTGTTTGGTCCTGGTAGCTTTCTGGTTTATCAAACCAACTTTTTCCTGACAGTTTAGGCTCTTGCCTACATGTATCTGCTCCCTTCCCCTTTTCCATATAAGCGCTTCCTCCCCCACCCCCTTCTCCTTACATCTTTTCTACCTTTGGTAATAAAAAGTGACTTAGCTATGTTTTGAAATGTCCCTCAGGCATAATGCCAGTATCACCAGTAGGCCCTTCTTAGCATCTCCTTTAAACCCTTTTTTTGTTTTGTTCAGACATGTGAGTTATTTATTAAATGTTTTTCACTGAATTTTGGTTTATTAAGTTGTAAGTTGTAGAGTATAGTGGAAGAGACGTGAGTTTTTCAAGTTAGTGGAATGAAAAGCATTTTGTTTTCCTTACATATTTCTTTCTTTTGTTTTTAGGAATGGTGGACTCATCTTTGGTTAAATGAAGGCTTTGCATCATGGATTGAATATCTGTGTGTAGACCACTGCTTCCCAGAGTATGATATCTGGACTCAGTTTGTTTCTGCCGATTACACGCGTGCCCAGGAACTTGATGCTCTAGATAACAGCCATCCTATTGAAGTGAGCCATACTTTTCAGCCATCGGCCTTTGCTCTCAAATTAATGAAAAAATAAGTAATTTGTTATAGAGATACTTAGGACTCCAAAAAGAAAAGAAAATTACATGAGCAATTCACTTGTTTTTATAGCCTATATTATCAGTCTTGAAAATCTCACAAGATTAAGTTCTAATTATGTTTCTTTTTAAGGTAGGCAGTATAAAAATTTGATCTTTGTAGAAGCAAGTGCTATGTACCCATAAACATTGACTAAGTTCATTTTACTGCATAGTATGAGAGAACCATGCCTATTGGGCAGTATGCCTAAGGGAACATTTTGATTCCATTGTTTATTTCAAAGAAAATTCTGAATGTATATTTTTTATTGTTGTCATTGTCTGTTTTTATATATATTTTATTTCTCTTGGCTTAGCCTATCCTTATTTCAGCTAGTTTGTAGGAATAAAGTTTGCCTCTGAAGAACTAGACAGTCTACTTTGATATATTTAACCAGGATCCTATATAATTGTAAGCTATTACAATTACCTGCAAGAAATAAAATGTTTTTCATCTCTCCCTTCTTCCCTCTCCAGTCCTCCAGTAAACAGATCCATAGTGATTTGCCTCCCAGCAAAGCGGAGCCAGGACCCTCAGAGATGATGGGGATCATGTCATATATTCCACTTTATTAGTATTAGTTACTTGCTTTTTAAGGATCATCATTATGCATTTATCAGTGAGCTAAAGGCAGAAAAGTATCTTATGAGTTAGGAGGGTTTTCCTAGAAAGCCTCAGTATTACAGACTGTCTGCTTCCTGTTATAACTCTGAATCACACTGTCTGCCAGGTCAGTGTGGGACATCCTTCTGAAGTCGATGAGATATTTGACGCCATATCATATAGCAAAGGTGCATCTGTCATCCGAATGCTCCATGACTACATTGGGGATAAGGTAAGAAAGCAACTTTAAAAAATCTTCCATCCTTTTATGGTGAAATCATAGACTTCTGCATGGAAAAACATGTCTGCTTTTATTTAAATTAAGTTCCTAAGTAATTTTTCTAGATTCTAGAAGAATATACTCTGATCTGTTTTATACCTTCATTTCTTTTTATATTGACTCTTGTGGTCTCTTAGATGAATGATGTGTAACATGTTTGGGGGTTGTGTGGGAGGCTGGTAAAACTTAAAAGCAAAAGAGAGAGGCAAAGAGTCTGCATTCTTAAAAGGCAGTAGACATTAGAGGGATATGTGCTTTTCAGTAAATTTGACACTCAGGTAATTTGAGCACACTATATGCAGACACACTGTAATTTCCAAGGTCTTAATCTCCTGGATTTTGAAAATTGTGTTTTCTCAGGACTTTAAGAAAGGAATGAACATGTATTTAACCAAGTTCCAACAAAAGAATGCTGCCACAGGTAATCTTTAATAGCTTGAGATAAGTGTTAGCATTCTATCCAGAGTAGGACATTTAATTTTTTTTCTAAATGCTTAACTTTCCATGTGATAGATAGGAAATAGAGTTGACTTATCTGGTGCTGTGTGTTAAGTGATGGATCAACATGAATCAGAGCCCATTAGCCTTCTGGTGCCCTCTAGTAGTCTGGTCTCCATAGCTCGGTGTCCTGCCACTTCCAAGAGTCTGAAGAGTTCTGTTTATTGACCATTGGCCATTAAAATTGCTGCAAATTAACCATTTTTAGGAGTAAACTTGTGGAACGACAGAGTTTCAATGAAGTAAGGTTTCAGATTTTTAGTGTATAGTGGTCTGTGATATATTGTGAACGGGAGTCCAAAGAAAGAATAACGGTGTAAGTGTTGATTGAATATGAAAAAGAACCAGAGTTGGAGTCTTGAGTTCTTCAGTGAACAAAAATAGTTTAGAAAACAAGATTTATGTAAGGTCGTTAGTATCTAATAGAATGACAAAAATTCAGAGAGGCCCGGCCATGGGCTGTTCCTGAGGTTTATGACCCGTCAATTAAAAATATGTATATCAGGGCACCTGGGTGGCTCAGTCCGTTAAGCGTCCAACTTCAGCTCAGGTCATGATCTCGCAGTTTGTGGGTTCGAGCCCCGCGTCGGACTCTGTGCTGACAGCCAGCTCAGAGTCTGGAGCCTATTTCAGATTTTGTATCTCCTTCTCTCTCTGACCCTCCCCTGCTCACGCTGTCTCTCTCTCTCTCTCTCTCTCTCAGAAATAAATAAAACATTAAAAAAAATATATGTACATCTGTCTTCCTCTCTGTTCAGGACATGACATAATCCTGACACTCTCTCTTCCCACCCCCATATTCACCTGCCATAAATGTCCATCTCAGTTTATGAAATAGGCATTTTGTTCCTTAAAGCAGAGTTACAGAAGAATGTGCTCTTACAAAATTTCTGAGTCTTTAGTATGCATACACACACACACACACACACACACACACACACACACAATACATGAGGAAAGAACTTTCTGGTTCTTAAGCTGCAATGTACATGAAATAACCCAGGGTCTGTGAAAACATTTCTAATTCAGTAGATCTGGGGTAAGACCTGAGAATCTGCATTTCTAACAAGCTCCCGGGTGAAGCCAGTGTCACTAGTTTTTAGGCCACACTTTGAAAAGCAAGGCCGCCTATGTAGCTTTTAAAGACAGTTGGCAGTTCAAATACACTGCAGTTAGCATCCATCATTTTTAGCCTGTCTCTCCTCACTACCCTTGCCTTAATTCATGCCTTTACAATCTCTCTACTGAATTCCGCAGCTGCCTCCTAACTTACCACTTAATGCTTGCCCCACTCTCTTCAGTTTTTACTTGCTCTGAGGCTAGCCAGGGTTATCCTTCTAAAGGGAATGCCTGATTGCATCACCTACTAACTGAAAACATTTGAGATACTTCAGTCCCTTCACAGTATAGTCCATTCATTTTAAGCCATACATAGTATTTTTCTTTCTTAATTTTTTTAAATATTTATTTTTGAGAGAGAGAGAGAGACACACACACAAAGTACGATCTGGCAAGGGGCAGAGAGAGAGGGAGACCCAGAATCCAAAGCAGGCTCCAGGCTCTGAGCTGTCAGCACAGAGCCCAATGTGGGGCTCGAAGTCACAAACTGTGAGATCATGACCTGAGCCGAAATCGGATGCTTAACCGGCTGAGCCACCCAGGTGCCCCAAGCCACACATAGTCTTAGCCAGTCAGCCCTTGCCTACCGTTTCAGCCTCATTGCTGGATATACCCTCTATCTTCAACTTATTGAACATTTGCTATTAGTAATGTTTTCTCTCTTTTCTTATACTTTCTTCCTTGTATATAGACAATTTATGTGTCTACCTGGAATGCCCTTCTCCCTTTGTCTGCCTGGTGAACAATTCCTCTTCAAGATGCAGGCCAGAAGCCAACTCTTGTGAAGACTTTATTTTCCTTGAATATTTAAAAAAGTTTATTTATTTTGAGAGAGAGTACAAGCAGGAGAGAGGGACAGAAAGAGAAAGAGATAGGGAGAGAGAGAATCTCAAGCAGGCACCTCACTGTCAGCACAGAGCCCAACGCGGAGCTCAAACTCACAAACATGAGATCATGACCCAAGACCAGATTAAGAGTTGGGTGCTTAATCAACTGAGCCACCTAAGCGCCCTTTCCTTGGATTTTTCCTTAAGGGCTTTTCCTCTGTTCATGCCCCCATTATAGCGTGTGTCTCATCGTGTTGCTGTTTTGCTTACTGTGCCACCAGTGCCATTTGACCATATGAGTTTTACTTCAGCTTTAGAGCACTGAGTATTTTTTAACCTGTTAATTGAATGGATATTATGGTTTTAAGTCTGTGGATGATGTTTAGTGGTGATCTTGAATATGTTTGTTTCTGCTATCTTGTTTGAACTCACCTGTTTGCCTTTTCTTTACTATATATGATTTGTGATTTTTGTTTTTAAAAGTAAACTCTATGGCTAAAATGAGCAAATCAGAGAACTCTAGATGCTGGCGAGGATGTGGAGAAACGGGCACCCTCCTACACTGTTGGCGGGAATGTAAACTGGTACAGCCCCTCTGGAAAACAGTGTGGAGGTTCCTCAGGAAACTAACAATAGAACTCCCCTATGACCCAGCAATAGCACTGCTAGGAATTTACCCAAGGGATCCAGAAATGCTGAGGCATAGGAGCACATGTACCCCAATGTTCATAGCAGCACTCTCCACAATAGCTAAAACATGGAAAGAGCCTAAGTGTCCATCAACAGATGAATGGATCAAGAAGATGTGGTTTATCTATACCATGGAATACTACATGGCAATGAGAAACAATGAAATCTGGCCATGTGTAGCAACATGGATGGACCTTGAGGGTGTTATGCTGAGCGAAATAAGTCAGGCAGAGAAGGACAAATATCATATGTTTGCACGTATAGGAGGATTAGGAGGAACTTGACGGAGGAACAAGGGGGAGAAGAAGGGCGGAAATGGTGGGGGAAAGGGAGAGAGGCAAACCATGAGAGACTCTTGAATGCTGACAAAAACTGAGGACTGATGGATGTGGGGGGGAGGGGGGATGGGCATGGAGGAGGACACTTGTGGGGATGAGCACTGAGTGTTATGTGGAAACTAATTTGACAATAAACTATTTGTAAAAAAAAAAAAAAAAAAAAAAAAAGTAAACTCTAGACCCAACATGGGGCTCGAACTCATGAAACTGAGATCAAGAGTTGCACCCTCTACTGACTTAGCCAACTAGGCACTCCTGTAATTTGTGATTTTTTAAAAAAATAATTTGTGATTTTTTAATAAATTGGAACAATTAAGGGCATCTTAAGCTATAAGACTGGTTTTTGTAATAGAGTTTATTTAATGGAGAGGCAAGGGGACATTAATTTCACCCCCTATTTCACGAACCTGAAAGAACCAAAGAATTGGTTAGCAAGGTAGTGTCAGGAGCTATATAAAGTTTCAGCAAATAAAAATGTAAACATTTCAGATTTTCTTTGTGTTTATCTTCTAGAGGATCTCTGGGAAAGTTTAGAAAATGCTAGTGGTAAACCTATAGCAGCGGTGATGAATACTTGGACCAAACAAATGGGATTTCCCCTCATTTATGTGGAAGCAGAACAGGTAACCTTATAAAAACTCCTCCAATTTGTGTGCTCCTGTATTACACAGAATTCAGTCGGTGTTACCAAATTTGCTTTTCTGTACTTTAAGTATTCTAGGTAAGATTTAAACTAGCCCTTGCATTGTTTTCTTGGTGATCTATTATCTGTATACTAAATGGTTTGCCTTCCCCCTCCCCTGCCATCATTAAAATCATGCATACTTGTAGTAGAAAACAAAATGTTGTCTACTCTTATTGTCCCCAAGGAAAACACTGTACACTTGTTGATGTAATTCTTTTTTTTTTTTTTTAAGTTTATTTATTTAAATAATCTCAACCCCCAACGTGGGGCTTGAACTCATGACTTTGAGATCAAGAGTTGCATGTTCTTCCAACTAAGCCAGCCTGGCATCCCTTGATACAGTTCTGAAATGACCAAGTCAGGTTTATTCCAGGACTGTAAAGTTGGTATAACATTTAAAAAAAACTTGATTATAATATAATAATTGATTAATAATCACTACATTAACAGGATATAGATAGAAGAACCACATAACTACTTCAATAGATGCAGAAAAAGCATTGTGAAAATTCAACACCTATTTATAATATCACTCTTAAAAATTAGCATATTTTAAATATTTTATTTCTTCATTTATTTTTAAATGTTTATTTTGAAAGAGAGCATGAGTGGGGAAGGGACAGGGAGAGAGAGAATCCCAAGCAGGCTCTGTGCTCAGTGCAGACCCCAACACCGGGCTCAATCCCAACGATTCAAGATCACAACCAGAGCTGATATCCAGAGTCGGACACTTGATCAACTGACTGAGCCATTCCGGCACCGCTTAAGATTTATTTTTAAGTAATCTCTACACTCAGTGTGGCGTGCAAACACAGCCCCTAGACCAAGAGTCCCATGCTCCACCGTCTGAACCAGCCTGCTGCCCTAAAATTAGTTTTAATGTTGGTTGGGTGGCAATGTGACTTTTGATTAGAATTGCACTATTATTAGTTGAACTGTTACCTGAATTCAGAGAGGTATACTTCAGAATGAGTTGTCTTCCCAACAGGACTGAGCTACCCAGGCGCCCCTGGTCATTGTTTCTTTACTCAAATTTTTTAGCTTTTCAATTCTGTCTCGTGTAGTCACTTTATTCCTAAAGGTCGTTGGCCTAATTTGACATTGAATTTGGGTGATGCTAAATTTGGGTGAATTGGGTTATATATTGTATTATTTAAAATATTCTAGGACATATTAACAAATGATAAGTAAAACAGATGATTGCATGTTTGCAAAGTATTTTTTTAAATATGTTCTTGACTTTTTTGCTCTTGGTTTTTTAGTTGTTTTTGCAATTTTTCCCCATCTTTTTTTTTTTTTTTTTTTTTTTTGTGTGTGTTTCATTGCAAAGCTCATCCTTTGGAACAAGATGTGTGCCTCTTTCATGTTTACCAGTCACTCTAAAACTTTGAATTCTGAACATTAAGTCCACATGCTAATCTAAGGTTGCCACTTTCTGGAAGCAGAAGAGCCTAAGTCATAACCTTCTATAAAGATTAAAACAACTTGAAGTATTATTTATTGTTACGTATCCTTGTCAAAATGGTAACACTTTAAAGTTCTTGTCTGTATACATAACCCTTCTGAAGGGCCATATACATAGAACAGGCCTTTTATTTAGAGTCTTGTTATTTGGAGGCCTAAATGAGAAACAGCGCCTTTTCTCCCGTTCTGTACTATCATCCTCTTCATCTCTGTTGCACTCGGTGTTCTCATGAGGCATTTATTTGGCTGTACTGGTTTCACCTTCTATTTTGTCACAGAAGTGTTGCCCCCTCCAAAAAGAAAAAAAGTAGTGATGCAATTACTAATAGCCTTATGCTTTTTTAGGTAGAAGATGACAGATTATTGAGGTTGTCCCAAAGAAAGTTCTGTGCCAGTGGACCATATGCTGGTAAGCAAATGGCTGTAAGTGGGAGATGAGTGAATGTGGACACCATTCCAGTAGTGTGCCAATTAACAGGAAGTAATTACTTATTTTTTAAATATTTTTAATAGAATTAAATAAAAACAAGGAAATGGTAATAAAATATAGATGAAATCTAGGAAATCAAAAAAGGAGATTCATGAGGTAGTTGTAGTGTTTTGATATTCTTCGATTTTTGAAATTCCGTGTCTCTGTATGTAATTGGAGGCTACAAGGAATAAAGGATAGGAATACCCAAGAAGCTATGTCTCTATCCTTACTCCCTACAAGAAGCCTTGCTGCACATTTGTGTGGGTGGCTAATGTTTTAAGTTCTTGGGCATACTAAGTAAGTAAATAAATAAATAAAGCACAGTGATTATTAGAGTTATTATGTACCAGTTACTGTGCTAAAGCAGTATAGCTGACCCTTATTTTATAGTTTCAGCAACCCTATTGAATAGGTAGTAGTATTTCCTTTCTACAAATGAACGAGCTGAGGCATCACTGGGTCAGTTAAATTGCCCAAGGTCGCCTGTCTAATGAGATAAAGAGTAGGAATTCAAACAAAATAGTTGGATTCCATGAGTTTATACTAACTACTGCTCAGCTCTGGCTTTTCAAGTATTTCTACAGATCATTAGATTCTTTGGGTCAGGAAATTAAAAGTACGCTTTTCACCTCCTTTAAAACAATAATTCTTAGTAGGGGGAGGTGTATATCAGAATCCCCTATCCTTTTCATGTTCCACTCTCCAAAATAGGGTACATTCTGCTAGGGTTAAGAGGTACACCCTTTCATCCTTAACCTTCCTTAGCATTTAGAATTACTTTTTAAGTAAATCTGTCTGACAAGTCAGCTGACAAGTTTATTGTCTAAAATAAATCCCTAAGTGTCACAGTTTCTGTTTTCTGCCTCATATCTGTAATCTGCATTGTAGGTTAACTATGACTTTTTAGTGATGGAATCCATCAGCTCTAGGGTGTATCCTGTCTATCTCAGAAATGAAATCAACGCTTCACTATGTATACCTGTTACGAACTGCACCTTAGACTATTTTTAAATGCTGTATGAGAACTTTCACCTACTTGAAATTTCTTTTACAGTAAAATCATTACTGTCTCTATTACTCTGTAAAGGGAAATGATGAAGTTAAAATCACTATGTTTGTGATACTAGAACTAAAGAAACTGTTCTCTTTTTCTTTCTTTAGGCTATTGTGATTTTGTTAATAAATTCTCTCTGCCTTTACACTAGTATTATTTGGGTTGTGGAAGAGTTTATGTACCATTGAAAATGAGCTGTTGGCTTAACAGTTAGATTCAAGCTCATATGTAAGATGCTAGTCCTCTCTCTCCACCTTACCTTCTATTTCTTCCGGTGGCAAATTTATTTTTCAAGTTTTCTATATGTTTTTCTCTTGCTTAAGGAGAAGACTGTCCCCAGTGGATGGTTCCTATCACAATCTCTACTAGTGAAGACCCTAACCATGCCAAACTGAAAATTCTGATGGACAAGCCAGAGATGAATGTGGTTTTGAAAAATGTCAAACCAGACCAGTGGGTAAAGGTGAGTCCAGAAATAGCCCGGCCATTTTTATCTTACCTAAATGAATTGATTTCTCTCACTTCCCTTTATCCATCTTATGGCTGGCTCTAAATTCTGTTTTAGTTCAGACAAGGACTTGCAAAGACAAAAACATTACTAAACTTTCCTGTGTGAAATTTAAGGCCAATTTTCAAATAATACTGTCTGATATCTTCCCTAAGGTAAGGGAGTGGTACATGAGCAGATAAAAAGGATATGATCAAAGGGGAAAAAATAATAGGTTATGCGTAAAGTCACATTAACCAAAAGATTTGTAGTCTTGCACCTTCAAACTGCGCTGTCATTGTAATGAGACGTTAACCTCCATGATGTGCTGTCATTGTGTCTGCACAACTATCATCAGGTGAGGCCACATGTGTAATAATGAGTTTGTGTCAATGAAATGTGAAATTCCTGTAACTGGTGTTTTAAAATCATTTCATAAAAATAATAGTTGGTAAAGATTATTTCACATTATTCTGTAGTCTGCACCATTCATAATGAAAAATTACCTACTACAAACTTTTCTCCCAATTAAAGGTTCCTAATAGGAATTACACATTATCTCAGATATTTGTATATGTATATATGTGTGTATATATATGTATGTATGTATGTATATGTGTATATGTATATATATATGTGTGTATACATGATTTTAAAAAAAAATATACTCAGTGGAGGGGCACCTGGGTGGCTCAGTCAGTTAAGGGCTGACTTCAGCTCAAGTTTGATCTCACAGTTTGTGAGTTTGAACCCTATATTGGGCTCAGTGCTGACAGCTCGGAACCTGGAGCCTGCTTTGAATTCTTTGTCTCCTTCCCTCTCCTGCTTGCATTCTATCTCTTTTCTCTCTCAAAAAATAAACATTAAAATAAATAAACAAATAAATAAATCTTTAAAAATGTAGATAGACACACACACATACATACCCAGTAGAATAACTATGTTATCATTTGAAATTACATCTGGAAGATTATGTACCTATATGAAATTTTTCTTCTAAATGTGAAAAACCTATGTATGCTGTGATTGTAATTGGGTAAATAAAGATAATATTCCTGCAGTAAAAGGTAAGGATTGATAAAATAGCAGTCGTAATATTGTGAGGTGACTTTAAAAAATACTTATAAGAGTGCCTGGGTGGCTCAGTCAGTTAACATCTTACTCTTGGTGTCAGTTTAGGTCATGATCTCATGGTTGTGGGATTGGCCCTGCCTCAGGATCTGTGCTGAGCGTGGAGCCTGCTTGGGATCCTCTCTCTCCCTCTCTGCCCTTCCTCCCCTGCTCATGCTCACTCTCTTTCTCTCTCAAAATGAATAAATAAGATTTTAAAAATAATTACATATAAATAGTAAAATATATCTTTTACTGTTATTTTGCCTTTAAAGTATATTGTAAATAAATATCAAAAATATTTTTCCCTTTTGGTAAATAGCCTATAGAGAATAATGACAGTCCATGACTATCTCCCTCCCCAAATCATCTGAAATTACCTTTAAAGTCTATGCAATTCTTTAAAACCTAGGACCTGAGCATTGTTTTTCTATTGAGACTCTGGGCTCAAGTAGATGAGTGTTTGTAAAGGCTTAGTCTTCCTCAGAGATTCCACTGTCCATGTGTTCTTACATGTAGTAACTATTTTCTGTAAACTTAAAACTGTCCATTAAGAGTAAACATTCCCCCCCTCCCTGCCACGTCCTTCCTACGTCTCTCACTCTGACCCCCACCATGTCATGTTTCTGTTTTCTTTTGCCTCTATTTTCATCTTTGACAACCACTTTCTGTCTTTATGTATTGTTTCATTTTAGTCCCTGCTTGCATATGTGATCTTTGTTGTTTTCACACAGATATTCTGAAACCAAAACTCTTTTCACACTTGCAAGCGACTGTTTTAAAAAACAAATGAATAGGGCGCCTGGGTGGCTCAGTTGGTTAAGCCTCTGACTTTGGCGCAGGTCATGATCTCATGGTTCACGAGTTCAAGACCCATGTTGGGCTCTGTGCTAACAGCTCAGAGCCTGGAGTCTACCTCAGATTCTGTGTCTCCCTCTCTCAATCTCTGCCCGTCCCCTACTTGTGCTCTCTCTCTCTCAAAAATAACATTTAAAAATATTTAAAAACAAAACAAAACGAATAGAAATATTTAATTAATAATCTCCATTGGGTATCTTTTCAGTTAAACCTGGGAACAGTTGGGTTTTATCGGACCCAGTATAGCTCAGCCATGCTGGAAAGTTTATTACCTGGCATTCGTGACCTTTCTCTGCCCCCTGTGGATCGACTTGGATTACAGAATGACCTCTTCTCCTTGGTGAGCCTCTCTCAAGTAGTATAATGGATTTTGTTGATTAAAGGACTTTGTTTTTCCTGGAGTATCTGACTGAAACATAATTAGAAGAATATGGTTCTTCCTGAAGGTTGAACACATTTTGGGACTAGAGCAAATGACTGATTATTAATTAACATGACAAGGTTGAACCTATATAATTTACCAGAAACAAATCCCATGTCACTACTCCTAAGCCAGCTTTTTGCAACCAAAAACGATCCTTTGTAAGGGAGAAATTCTTTTCAGTGGAAATAGGTATGAGCCTTGAAGAAATTTCTCTACTGATGTATTTTTAAAATAACTGATTCAGAGTGATTTATATTTTTATAAAATAGTGATTGTACTATCTAGAATTTTTTAACTTTCCATTACTACTCAAATAATAGCCCATTAGCTTTAGAATTATATTTATGTGGGGCACCTGGGTGGCTCAGTCAGTAGAGCATCTGACTCTTGATCTCAGGTCATGAGTTCAAGCCTCACATTGGTGTGGAGCCACCAAAAAAAAAAAAAAGAATTATATTTCTTTTGCCTTTGTTCCAGAAAGGATTTAAATCAGCAATTAGTAGAATTATTTTTATGATTCTAACATAGGTTAGATAATTTCCAGATGTCTTTGTGATAAAATTGTCAGATTCTTCCCAGTGTTCCTTTTTAAAGTGGACTTGAATTTTCCCTCCCCTCTGCAGTAACTGGTTTTGGATTCCTCCTTTGTATAAACACAGATTAGCATTGATGCACAAAACCTCACATCTGCTGATCTCATTGCTGAGAGAGACCTGTCCCAGGAGAGCGGTGTGTTTGTGCAGTTGGCTGCTGTAACACAAGTCCTTTTTCCTAGCTCTGTTAGTGAATTCTGAAAGGCCTCTGAATTTGTAGTGCCTTTCAGTTTGCCTTCTTTCAGAAATGAGTAAAGGACAGACTGAAGTTGACACGGTTTGCAGGTCCAGTTTTGAAAGAGCCTCTGTCAAAAACCAAAGCCCTAACTATTTTTGCATCTTTTCTGAAAGTATGAGAAGTTTAAAAATAAAAACAAAGCCAAGGCCCAAGAAACTGGATGGAAATAGGAAGTTAACAGCTTTCTTTCTTGCTTTCTTTTTTTTTTTCCTCTCCTTCTCACTGAAGTATAGTTGATGCACATAGTGTTACATCCATATATAGTGTTACGTCAGTTTCAGGTGAACAACATAGTGATTCCACATGTCATACCTCATGCCGTGCTCACCACAAGTGTAGCTATTGCCTGTCCCCAAAGTGTACTTTTTTTAGTTGCTCTCTCATAAACAGTAAAAAAGTAAATAAGGAATGTTGTCATGATAGGAGTTTTATTCTAAGTCTCCTGTATTTACATAGTCTCATTTCCTTTAAACCAATGAGATAACTAACTAGCAGTAGATAATGCTGAAAACGCATGTTTGTGTTTTTTTGTTTTGTTTTTGTTTGAAGACTAGATTAATTTATGTTTTTTCCTATCCCAGGCTCGAGCTGGAATCATTAGCACTGTAGAGGTTCTAAAAGTCATGGAGGCTTTTGTGAATGAGCCCAATTATACTGTATGGAGCGACCTGAGCTGTAACCTGGGGATTCTCTCAACCCTCTTGTCCCACACAGACTTCTATGAGGAAATCCAGGAGTTTGTGAAAGATGTCTTTTCACCCATAGGGGAGAGACTGGGCTGGGACCCCAAACCTGGAGAAGGTAATGGATGTACTGAATGGGGAAGGAATTGAGAAATTTGGCCCTTTTTTCTCCACTGTGGTTAACAGTATCAGTAGCATCTTTGTATCTGCCGGACGTTACTGTGTATTCAGCTCACCAGGAATTAAATCTTAATTCTTTTCAGTTTCCTGGTAAAGTTACATGGGTCACCTACATAAAAACAGTGGTGGTTATATGTATTCACTGCTAAATACGATTTGTAAACAACACAAATGGTGGAAATAGAAGCCTTTTTATGGCATTCTAAAAGCCCATCTATAGTCAAGAAAAGCTAAAAGGAATTTTAGATGATTTTATTTATTATTACCATAAATAGCAGCCACCGTATATGTAGGACTTGGAAAGATACTGAGAGACAGTACATGAATTAAGGGAGTTACTGACTTTCTACATGAATTCTCTCTTCTGATTATTTCCATAATCCTATATTTACTTTTTTGCTGTCATTAAATGTTGGGAGTGGTGATCTTAGGGCTTTATATATAATTATTTTCTATCATCTGCAAATAACTAAAGATGATATTTCATCCTAACAGTCTTGATCTGGGAGCCTTTTGCAATAAGAACAACATTTACAGTTATCTAGAGCTCTGTGTTTTCCCCTCGTGGATTCCACAAATATTTATGTGCCTAGTAAATACCAGGTACTATTCTGAGAGCTGGTGTGGCTCCTGTGTAGCTTACATTCTAGTGAGAGACACAGCAAACCACTGAACAAATGATATTTTAGGTGGCAATGAGTATCATGAAGAAAAATAAAGTTAGGTAAGGTAGATAGAGAGTACTAGGCCAGTATATTCTAGTGTGGTCAGGGCAGCAGTCACTCATGATGAGGTGATAACATGAGCATAAGCAGAGACCTGAGAGAGAACCGTGAGGCCATCTGGAGCGAAATGGTCCAGGTGGGGAACAGCCTGTGCAGGAGACCTGAGGCAGGAGCACACTTGGGTTGTTCAAGGAATAACAAGGAGGCTAGTTATGTCAGGACAGAGTAAGTGAGGGGGACAGGGTGGGAAGCAATTTAGCTCCTGTAGGACCTGTGGACCTAGTACATTTTTGACTTTCACAGTTAGTGATATGAGAAACTGACGTGAGAGTTGATGCACAAGAACGTGACTCAATGTGCTCAGCTGAGACAGGAACAGGGAGACAGATTACAGAGCTGTTCCAGCCATGCCGTCGAGGTGCTGGGTGCAGCTCGCACTTGTGGCAAATTCTGTGTGTGTTTTGAAGGTAGAACTGAACCTATTTGGTGGTGGGCTGACTGCTAGGGGAGAAGGAGGAGCCACCACATTCTGGCCTGAGGACCAGAGGAGTGACGTTGCCAGTTACAGAACGAGACAGTGGTAGAAGCTGGCTGGGGACCGAGGGACCGAGGGAATCTGGAGCTGGGTGTTGGACGCGTTAGCTTAGACATCCAGGGGGAGAGTTATGAAGCCTAGAGGTTTAGGCCCAATAAATCCATTTTGTGTAGATGGTGTTTACAGCCACGAAGCTGGATGAGATCACGCAGGGCCCAGCCTAGACTGATGAAAGAGGTCTGAGGACTAGGTCCTAGGCTAGGCCAAGACTTGGAGATTAGGTGGAAGAGGAGGAATCCTTCACAAGGGAGACTGGCCACTGAGGAGGGAGAGTCAGGAGGCAGGAGCTGTCCCAGGCATCTTAAGCAGCATTGCAGAAGGACAGTCAGCCACCATGACAGCTGCTGCTCTGAGTCCGGCGAGATGGAGGAGAATTGGCGATGCTGTCGGCAGGTTCTGTGGAGTGGTGGGTTCTCCAGAGCGGCAGGAGGGAAAGCAAACGGCACATTCAGACAATTTTTTAAAGGAGTTTTTGCTGAAAAGGGGCTCAGAGAAAAGGGGATAGTCTGGGGAGAGATGTGGGGTCAATGGAGGTATTTATTTTTATCAAGTAGGAGATTTTATAACATGTTTTAGTGCTGATGACAATGCTGGAGTAGTCATAGGAAAATGTGTGATGTGAAAGAGAGGGTGGTAATTGCTGGAGCGACGGCCGAGTGATGGAGGGGAGTTGGGACCCAGGGGAGGGTGTGCTTTAGACAGGAGCACAGAGCCCTAGAAATGAAATGAGAGGGTATTGGGGTCAGATCCAGGCAGGTGGGTGGATGTTGTATTCTCTTTCACGGTGATAATATGTGAAGATTTTGGGGCTCAAAGACACCTTAGTATATGTGCTGCCGAAGCGAGCACAGAGACACCTTAATGAAATAGGGAGAATACCTTTAGTTTTCTAGTTTTATAGATGGAAGAATCAAACAGCAAAATAACAAAACAATGGGGCACCTGGGTGGCTCAGTCGGTTAAGCATCTGGCTTTGGCTCAGGTCTCGATCTCATGGTTCATGGGTTCGAGCCCCATGTTGGGCTCTGTGCTGACTGCCAGCTCAGAGCCTGGAGCCTGTCTTTGGATTCTGTGTCTCCCTCTCTCTCTGATCCTCCCCTGCTCATGCTGTCTCTGTCTCTCCTTCAAAAAAATAAATAAAACATTTAAAAAAACTTTTTAAAAATAACAAAACATTGCCTTGTGTCACACAGCAAGTCAGAATTATAAATTGGTTCTTCAAAGAACCTCACTAGTGTCCTGTTGTGTTATGTATTGATTTCCTATTGTTTTCTCAAACTTACTTTTTTACTGAGTTATGATTTAAATGTAGCAAAATGCAGAGTTTAAATGTTTCTTGGGGTGCCTGGGTGGGCACAGTTGGTTAAGTGTTCAACTTGGCTCAGGTCATCATCTCATAGTTCATGGGTTCCAGCCCCACGTCAGGATCTGTGTTGACAGCTCAGAGCCTGGAGCCTGCTTCCGATTCTGTGTCTCCCTCTCTCTCTGCCCCTGTCCTGCTCGCCCTCTCTCTGTCTCTCTCAAAAATAAATAAACATTAAAAAAAATTAATGTTACAGTTCAGCGACTTTTGACAAAAATACACCGAAGAGGTTGCCTCAGGGCCCCTTCCCAGTCAGTCCCTGCCAGGAGGGTTCCCCTCTCCATCTCCTGCAAGCAAACACTTTTCTGCCTTTTTTTCACCCTAGAGGCTTCTAGAGGCTTCTCTCACTTAGTGTAATGTGCTTGAGACACATCCAGGGTGTTCATTCCATTTTATTGGTTAGTGGTGTTTCATCATATGTACCATGACTTAGCTTGTCTATTTTGGTATTGCAGTCCATCATTGCTAGTGTTCACCTTTTTTTTACACATAGTTAGTATATAATAAAATGTACCTTTTAAAGGATACAATTCAGTCTTTTTTAGTTTATTCATAACGTTGCACAACCATCACCACCATCTAATTCCAGGATCATTTCTTTAACCTCCCAAGAAACTCCATGCCCATGGCAGTCACTCCCCATTCCCTGGCAGTCCCGCTCCCTGGCAACCACTCATCTGCTTTCTGACTATGGATCTGCCTAAACTGGGCACTTCCTGTAAGTGGAATCCTACCCTGTGTAGCCTTTTGTGTCTCACTTGTATCACTTAGCAGAATGTTTCCAAGGTTCATCCATGTTGCCACCTCTATCAGGACCGCCTTCCTTGTATAGCTGAATAGTATTCTACTGCATGGATATACCTCGTTTCGTATTTTTATCACTCGGTGGGTGTTTGGCTGGTTTTTACTTTTTGACAGTTGTGAATTACTGCCGTGAACATGCGTGTACAAGTTTTTGTGGACATAACACTTTTCATTTCTATTGAGTGGAATTGCTGGATCATGAGGTAACTCTGTTTAACCTCTCTAGGAATTGCCAGACTGTTTTTCAAATTGGTCACAACATTTTACATTCCCGCCAGCATTGTATGCGGGTTCTCACTTCTCCGTGTCCTTGACAGTGCTTGTTATGGTCTGCTTTTTTTAGTCATCCTGGGGGGTGTGAAGTAGCCATCTCATTGCGGTTTTGATTTGCATTTCCCTAATGACCAAAGTTAACATCTCTATATGTGCTTATTGGAGTAAATAAATCCATCAGATTTCGATTTTTAAAATCTAAAATTTCAATTTATTATACAAAGCATACCGGTTCAGTATGTAACCTTTCTCTGAATCTTGAGTCAAAACTGTACGATCTAAGCCTGTTTCTTTCACATATAATCCTTAGCAGTGTAATTACCAAGATGAGTGAACATTTAATAAATTCAGGTACTTGGCATTTGTAAACAAAGTCAGCAAATGTATTTGCTTCTCTAGTCTGTTTAGCATTTCATTTCACTTTTATGATTTGAACAATATAAATTAAATATTCTCTCAAGTACCGAGGTAATTGATTGTGTTTGTTCAGGATGCTAGATGTAGTATAACACAGTTATAAGATCCATCCAAGTAGCATATTTGTGAAAATAGATTTTTAAGCAGTGTTGTGACTCTTTTACTTCTTAATCAGGTCATCTAGATGCACTCCTGAGGGGCTTGGTTCTGGGCAAACTAGGAAAAGCAGGACATAAGGCAACGTTAGAAGAAGCCCGCCGTCGGTTTAAGGACCACGTGGAAGGGAAGCAGATTCTCTCCGCTGATCTGAGGAGTCCTGTAGGTTTTCATGATAAATAACCTTGATTCCTAGGTGACTGTATCATTCTGTGCACAGGGTGGGATGTATTCAATGGTAACCAGAAACGACCTAAGTACTGACCCTTTGTGCTAATATGTGCCATTTAGGTGGTTCATAGCCAGCTTCTCATTTGTTTAAAGTTTGTCAGACCACACTGAGTGCTTAAAGTTGATCGTCAGTGTCCATTCCCCTGAGAGAGCTGGTGTGCACTGCTCTCACCGCATGCTGTCTCCCTCTCTGGTTTCAGTGTGGGCTCCAAGCTCATTGTCACACAGTCTGTATGTAACATCCACACACAGCTGTTTACAATTGTTTTGACTTGCTTTCTGTCTTTCTTAACATTAAAATATTTGGAACAAGAAACATTTAATCAGATGCCTTCTTTGTTGTTCCCGTATTCTCTTGTAGGTTTATCTGACCGTTTTGAAGCACGGTGATGGCACTACTTTAGACATTATGCTAAAGGTGAGTAAATTTAGAGAGGGCTTCCATCTTCTTTTTTTTTTTTTTTAATTTTTTTAATGTTCTTATTTATTTCTGAGAGAGAAAGAGAGAGAGAGCGTGAGCAGGGGAGGGTCAGAGACAGAGAGGGAGACACAGGATCTGAAGCAGGCTCCAGGCTCTGAGCTAGCTGTCAGCACAGAGCCCGATGCGGGGCTCTAACCCACGAGCCTGAGCCAAAGTGGGATGCTCATCCGACTGAGCCACCCAGGCGCCCCGGGGCTTCCATCTTCTGCTGTTAAGCTTGGATTGACACAGAGAGTACGAGCTTTAAGTGGTTAAAAAAAAAAAGTCCTGGCAAAAGAAAGATATGCAGATATATATGTTGCCAACAGGCAAATATTAAGAAACTATGGGAGAAATATATCCTGTCTGTTCATGTGTATTACCAATATGATGCCAGAAGTCATCCAGTTTTATCACTTTATTATTTATAAGCTTATATATCTTATACCAAAAAATGAATTGTTCATTATGATTACAAGTCAAGCTCTTAAGGTTTTCCCTTCCATGTAAACTTATATAGGATTCTTCCCATTTTAAAGAAAAGGTTTGTGTCGGTGCTTAGGGAATAGATAATTAGGTGTCTCCAGGGTTTGAGCTATGTCAGCGCCTCTTATGAATGGACAGGAAATTAATTGACTTGCCTGCATAGCTTCTGTAGTTTCCCCAGAGGGCTGGCATGTAATTAACACAGATACTATACTTCTCCAGTCCCTGTCCATGCAGTTGTCCATCTAAGAAATCACTTGACAGGTGGGGAGAGCTGAATGTACTTATTACCATCGAATAAAATGTGCAAAATGTGCCTAAATACCCAAATTATCTGTCAAACCTAGAAAGTCCATTCATTTAAAGACCTGCACTTAGTGCGAACAAACAGAACAGGAATGGATGTGCTTTACTGCTTCCGTCTTTGATGGCTAAGAACACTTTTCTGATCTCAAGTGGATCAAAATTGCAAATCTAATTTCTAGTATTTAATTTTAAACAAATCCTGTTTTTTTTTTGTTGTTTTTTTTTAAATATATTTTTTTAATGTTTTATTTATTTCTAGGAGACAGAGAGAGAGACAGTGTGAGCAGGGGAGGGTCAGAGAGAGAGGGAGTCACAGACTGAAACAGGCTCCAGGCTCTGAGCTGGCAGTCAGCAAAGAGCCAGACGCGGGGCTCGAACCCACGAACTGTGAGATCATGACCTAAGCGAAAGTCGGACGCTTAACCAACTAAGCCACCCAGGCGCCCCACAAATCCTGTTTTTTTTTTAATGTTTGTTTATTTTTGAGAGAGAGGGAGAGACAGACAGAGCATGAGCAGGGGAGGGACAGAGAGAAAGGGAGACCCAGAATCTGAAGCAGGCTCCAGGCTCTGAGCTGTCAGCACCGAGTCTGATGCAGGGCTCGAACCTACGAACCATGAGATCATGACCTGAGCAGAAGTCAGACACTTAACTGACTGAGCCAACCAGGCACCCCCAAATCCTGTTTTTTTAATGATTAAAATTCTGAAAAACATAAACTTTAAGAAACTCAAAATGTGCCACTTTAATTCTGATCTTGGATAAGAGTTTCCTTTCTAATAATATAAAAAGTGTATAAAAAATATAGACTTTGGGTCTAACTTTCAACTAAATGACATTGAGGTCCCTTCTCCTTCTTAATATTTTGTGAAACTGTGCACTATAAATCATGTATTTCTTTGCATATGAAATCAGATACTTGTGGGTTTTGTCTTTTCCATAGAAGTATGAACGAAAATGTGTTGGCATCTATTTGATGTAAGGAAGCTGACTGTAATTCTGCTTTACTATGGAAAGAGCTCTAATGAAGGCCAAAGTCTGTTGGTAATTTAGGAATAATGAGGCAGGATTTAAAAAAAAAAAAAACTTCTCTTTCAAAGTATATTTGGAATGTAGTGTTATGATGCCATCTAGTGGACTATTGTAACAGGTTCTTCTTGGGGCAAATAGTGCTTCTTGAAAGCCAGAGTTTAGAGCTTGAGTCCTAGAGCTGAAAAGGACCTTAGTAATTATCTGTCCACCCCACTCATTTTACACATGTGGAAGCCAAGATCCAGACAGGTTAAGGACTTAGTCAGGATCACACGGTTAGTGAGACGCAAAACCAAGACTAGAACCCAGGTGTCTATTTTACTACACTGCTGCTCAAAAGAATTCAAAGGGAAAAAAAAGGAAACTGGGGCCTGTATGGGGTCTGCAGACCCTGGTCAGTATAAAATCTTCAGTGGGGAAAACAGCCAACAGACTCTATAGATTAAGTTGTCTTGGAGAGGTATCATATATATATGCTTGTAATTCTCATTTATGTATAATAATGTTTTGCTTCTGATAAAAAAAAGACTTGGTATATTCACTATGGAAGATTTAGAGACTAGAAAAGTATAAAGAAAAAACTTATCTGTAAATTGAAAATTTTAAAAAGGTCACAACATAGGTATAAGATGATCTTATGTCCAATTTGGTAATGTACATATTGTAATAATTTGATTTTTTTCTTTATTATTCTCATTTTCCTAATTTTCTGCATTCAGCATACACTGCATTTGCAGTTAAAAAATTTGATACAGAATCCCACTGATCAGAGGCCATCATTAATATTAACATGTATTTTTTAACTATTAGAAATTAAATTGATGACCTACAGTGGTATTGCAATGATTAAGTTGTTTAACAAAGAACATTAGTCAGACATCATACCCCTCAGATCTTGAATTTAAATTGCTCAGAACTGATGGCCAGCCATTCACATAGTACTCACTTATATTTAGTAACTTACTGTAATGGCAGATGACAAATTTAGTGCCTGAACATCCTGAAAAGTATTATTCTCTGTTAATTTCATACCCCGCGAGCCTAGCCAATGAGAATATAGAGCAGAAGTTTCACCTTAATGGGGGAGAAGCTCCTATAAGCATGTGTCTGACTTTCAGGGGAGAGTTAACTGTCTCGATCTGTATTTTTTCACTATAGCTTCACAAACAAGCAGATATGCAGGAAGAGAAAAACCGAATTGAAAGGGTCCTTGGGGCTACTCTGTCACCTGAATTGATTCAAAAAGTCCTCACGTTTGCACTTTCAGTAAGTTACAATGAAAACTGCTTTTTAGAGGGAATTGTAACCCACCAGCCTGTGGCAGGTGTCTTTGATTCAGTGTCCGCCTGGTCTGCTTTAACCCCTTCCTCTTAGTCTGGGGGAAATGGAGTGGGCTTTTGTCACTGACCTCTGTATCTCCCTCCACTGGTGGGAATCAGAATAGCTGGAAGCAGGAATAAACTGGAAAGCTTACCCCTGTGCCTACTTTCTGTCTCTTCCTTTCTTTACCCTGTAGGAGCCCAAGCAGACATCTATTGAACAGCCTGTTTGTACCCGTCTCAATGCCTCCTTCTCAATTTGGCTGATCTTTAGGAAGCTTTCTGGTGCCAGTTATTCCTAAAATAAGGAATGAGGGTCTTCACTGTGGTTACTTGCGTACCTCAACAGCATCTGCCCTTTCTGGCAACCAGAAGATGTTCTGAATACAGTAGACTTTTCATTCTCCTTCTGTTTTTAGGAAGAGGTACGTCCACAGGACACTGTATCAGTAATTGGTGGAGTGGCTGGAGGCAGCAAGCATGGAAGGAAGGCTGCTTGGAAGTTTATAAAAGACAACTGGGAAGAACTTTATAATCGATACCAGGGAGGATTCTTAATATCCAGACTAATAAAGGTGTGTGAAGATTTTTATTTTGAGTGGTTTGCTTATCATAGATGTTTAGACATATCCATGATTCACCAAGCCTATAGACTCTAGTCTTTGCTCTTTAAGAGTTTCTTCCAGAAAAAAAAAAAATTTCCTTAAATAATTATTAGCTTTATTAAAGGGCTTCTCCATCACTAGCTTGCACCTTCTAGAATATTTCTGAAGTTGGGAGAGAATGAAATGATTTCGTTTTTGGGTAAACGGAAGTTTCTTCCTAGCCTCTTTTAGTTGCATTTACTATTTAAACCATTGTTTTGTTTTGTTTTGTTTCTAGCTATCAGTTGAGGGATTTGCAGTTGATAAAATGGCAGGAGAAGTTAAGGTAAGCAAAGTACTGATTACTTTACAACCTAGTAGTACAAACACTAATGAGCCAGATTGTAATCATGTAGTGTTGGGGTAATGCTGTATTAATCCTTGTTTTTGCTTGGAAAAAGACAGCTTGGGTTGTGTCTTTAATGCTCGAAGAATTTAGGGTTGGAATCATCTTTGAGGGTTTTGCAATATGTTTGAAAGAACGTGGAAATTGGAATCAGTAGTCACTCTGAATATAAATCTGTGCTCTGCCCTGTGTTAGCTATGGGACTTCAAGTAAGTTTTTTAACCCCTGTGAGCCTGACTCCTCATCCATAAAATGGGATGATGATGATTGTTATTTAGAGCAAGTAATGTAGTGGGACTGGAACGGAGCAGTAGGTCCTCGGTGATGGTTCTTTTCCTTTCTGGTAACAACCTTCATGGGTCTGTCCTGTGCACAAGGAGCCTGTGCAGGGAATCTCTTAGCCCTTACAAAGGAGAATCCTCAGCTGAGTGGTAAAGTTCGGCATTTGAGGAACAGACTTACACTGACTAGGGAAATCTTAATGTTAAGCCTTACATTGCGTTGAATTGTGAAGTATTCTTGAAGTGTCACTTTCACCTTTACTTCTTGAAGGCAGTAGTGTTGTTTGACTCACTCTGTGAGCCATTGTTTGGAATAAGGTTTTAAGATTTCAGGTCTTTTAAAATTTTTTTTATAGTTTATCTTTGAGAAAGAGACAGAGCACGAGTGGGGGAGGGGCAGAGAGCAAGGGAGAAACAGAATCCAAAACAGGCTCCAGGCTCTGAGCTATCAGCACAGAGCCCGATGCGGGGCTCAAACCCATGAACCGTGAGATCGTGACCTGAGCCAAAGTCGGACACTTAACCAATGGAGCCACCCAGGCGCCCCAGATTTCAGGTCTTGAGAAGACAGTGAAAGACTTGATCTCTGCCTTCATTTACTTTATATTGTATGTTGTGCAGTTACCTTATCATAAAGGATAGAAGTACTCTGAAGAAGTACATATACCAGGTTTAGAGGGGAAAGGTAGTGAATGGCCAAGCTGAGTCCAGGAAGATAGGTAGAGGCCAGACTGTGAAGGGCCTTGGAGGCCATATGAAAATTTTACTAAGAGGGCGCCTGGCTGGCTCAGTCGGTTGAGCATCTGACTTCGGCTCAGGTCATGATCTCACAGTTCGTGGGTTCGAGCCCCGCATCGGGCTCTGTGCTGATAGCCAGCTCAGAGCCTGGAGCCTGTTTCAGATTCTGTATCTCCCTCTCTCTCTGTCCTGCCCCTACTCATGCTGTCTCTATCTCTCTCTCAAATATAAATAAAACATTTTAAAAAATTAAAAAAAAAAAACTTTTCATAAGAGTAGAAAGCCCTCATATTGCTTATCAGGAGAGGAGTGAGCTGATGTGATTTGTACTATAAAAATTTCACTTTGACTGCAGTGTGGAGAATAGGGGTGTGGAGAGGAGAACATTTCGGGATGCTGATGCCAAGCAAGAATGAGAGAGGAACTTGCAGGAGATGGAATAATGAAGTCAGGGGCTTGAGTTTGTTAATCTTTAATCCAACAAATATTTACTGATTGACTTTTCTGTGTTGTGAACATACCTGGCAGAGGAAAAAGGAAGAGTTGACGGTAATTCCAATTCCCAGGTTTCTCGTATGTAAATAACGGTGCTGTTCGTAGCGATGGAGTGAGGGGCAGTTCTGTATCGTTCTCAGGCCCTGAGAACCCAGCATCAAGAAGGAGCCTCCACGTATGGGCCATCGTCACCTGTGTGACGAGGTTATTGATTTCCCGAAGTTCTAGACTTAATCTGATGAACTAGTCTTCTCTTTTATATCTGTGATGACTGGTTCACAGTAAAGACCCTTATTCTTTTGCTGGCTGGTATTTAAGAGTTGCTCTGTTTACTGTGAATCTTGGTATATACTTCATTAGAAGGTAGTTTATTGAATCTTTAATCAGTAAGCTTTGGGTAAATTATAAATAAACTCAGAAATCATTTTGTTGTATGAAAAATGTGAGTCTGTGGAGCAGCAATTTAAGCTTTGTGGTTTTATCACCTTCACAAGTTAATCTCTATTTGAAGCAGCCGGAATGTGTTTGCATCCTTACAGACTCTGCCTGCCAAGTATTATGCTAACAGTTTTTATGGGTTTTCTCTTTAAACTTCTGGAGTAAATAATTTCTCACAAATGAGAAAACAGACTTAGAATGATTAATTTACTCAAACCCACAGGCCAATACATGACCGAAACTAGATTTGAGTCCCAACCTGATTCCAAAGCCCTGCATTAACCACTAGATATCGAACCAAAAAGAAAAGCTAGAGGTTCTGCCTCTTTGTTAATTTCGATTATATCTGAAATATATATTTGGAGAAGAACTTCTGGATCCAGGTCCACGAGGCTGCTTTGCTTTCTTTTAGCCTGGGAGTAGCCGCGGTAAATCTTCACAATTAAAGCTTTTGAATCCTTTACAGAACAGTGGGTGAGTTTTCGTGACCAGATATTACTGACTTCTTAACCATTGCTGGTAACGATCCTGCCTTCTGGGTTGTTTCATACCAGGCTTTCTTCGAGAGTCATCCAGCTCCTTCAGCTGAGCGCACCATCCAGCAGTGCTGTGAAAATATCCTGCTGAATGCTGCTTGGCTAAAGCGAGACGCCGAGAGCATTCACCAGCACCTCCTTCGGCGGAAGGCCTCGCCGCCCACGGCCTGAGCCCGGAGCGCTGCCACTGCGGCTCCGCTTGGCTGCAGGGATGAGGTGGGGCTGCCGAACAGCTGATTCATAGGCCGAGAATTTGGAGTCTTCTTTCAAACCAGTGGGGGTTGGACAATGAATGTAGTTAACTGGTTCCTGCTCACACTCCAGAATTAAATTCTATTGAAAAAGGAAAATCAGCAATTCAGCAAAAAAATAAAAATAAAAATAAAAAATAAAAAATGTAAATATGATAGTAATAAAATAGAGCATAACGAAACTGTGAAACTTCCTGAAGCCTTGTCAGTGGTTAAAAGTATTTAACACTCTCCTGTTAATGACAGATGTTCTGTTTTTATAACCTACCAAAAGGAAACTAGAGGCTTCTGGGTGAAGAAGATTTTTGTGAAGTGGGTTCTACGAGCGGCCTACAAGCCAAGGGTAGTGTCCGTCGCTCTGGGAACGGTTAAACGTGCAAGGCTGATTGATAGCTGGTATAACATAGAGTCTGTGCATAATTCCAAGTGTTTTTGGGGTTTTTTTGGGTTGTGGGTTTTTTTTTTTTTTTTTTTTGGGCATGGGGACGGATCAGGAAGATATATTTTCCTGCATAACTCAATCTGAACCAAGGATTGTAGTTTTCCTCCTTGCCTTCCCTTCTGTGTGACCCCCCTTGGCCAAAAAAAAAAAAAGAAAAAAAAGTTAAAAAAACCAAACCTATCCTGGTCTGGGTTTTTTCCTCTTCCTAGTTCCACCCCCCTCCCCCGGTGTCCTTCTTAGAGATAAAGAAATAATAAGGAAACATCTTTTATAGCCACATTAAATAAGAGAAACTGATATACATTATTTTTTCTTTCTTTTTTAAGATAACTTTTAAGAACCCTGAAATGCATGTAGGTGAGACCTAGAAATGAAAGGGTTTTCAGCCAGGCCACCCTGAAGGAGTTACTCTGCTGACAACCATCTTAGTTGTCTGACAGGCCAACTGTTAAACCGCTTTACGACAGTATCAACACTGGCTTTTGGTTCATTCTGGACACGTGAGAAGTCTGTGGTAACTGCTGCAGGGCCTGTATTGTAGTGGTAACCGGTTAAAACAACAAAGACTGTAAGCCCGCGTGCCACTCTCCACTTTACCAGTGCATCCTACTAACAAGCTTCACCTAACTAATCCAGTGAGTTTTAACTCTAACCCTCATTCCTTTCCTCTGGGCCTCCCTTTTTTCTTTTCTTCTTTTTCTTTTTCCTTTTTGTTTTTTAAAATATTTTTTGTGTTATTAACAGGAATTCATATTTGGTGTGGCTTAACTGTATTTCAGAAGGTCATCAGATTGTGAGACTGCTTCCTTGAAACATTTTTGTGCTATTGTTTTAAAAAAATAATAATTAAAAAACAGTTGGCGTTAATAAAAATGTCAATGTGAAATTGATGTCCTGATTTCTTTTATTCTCTTTAATAAGAAACTATAAACTTTTCCTGTCATTCACTAGGATTATAAGAAGTCTTACTACCATAGGGTTTTTCAAGTCTAAGAAAATCCAGGTTCTGAATTCCTTAATGAGTAATAAATACCTGTGCAGAAAAATCCTAAGATTCCTTCCAAATCCATTCTGGATGCTCAGAAATCTCTTAGAGATCCTTAGAGCCCGCATTCAGGAGTTAACCTGACACTTGTCACTTATTGAGGCTCCCTTGTCCAGGTGCCACACGCAGGGCAGCCGTGGGGCCACCTAGGCATGTGCTTTTAAGGCACCAGCAAAGCAGGGACACCAAAAAGACTGAGGAGAAATCTGCTTTGTATTCTCATTTTACAATTAGAAATTCTAGAAAGAAGTAATTTCATTTTCAGCATACATCCAAGTTACGTGGTTTGCATTCTGCTAGGGCACAGTGGTGGTGGTGGGGTGTCCTGTGTCCCCCTCAGGGCTGTTCTCCATCCTGCCTGTGCCCTGGAGGGCTTGGCCCGCATGGCCTGCACTGACAGGGTCCTTTGCCCCCTGAGTTCAAGTTGTGTGGATCCAGTAAGTAATAACCTTCGAGACCAAAAGGCATGAGGAAAGGACGGTCAGGGTGTTTATTCACCAGGCTTCCTCATCCTCCCAGGTGACATGGGTTGTCTGTGTCCCTCTACCAGAGGCCACCACTCCTATTCAGAAGCCCTCTGTAGCTTCTAGCTTCTTCACTTTGCCCACTCCAAATCTAGGGACAGAAAAGACTATTCCCTTACTAGCTCTGGATTACTCCATTATTCCTTGTTGGTTCCCCTGAACTTGGCTGTCTTTGTAAATAGTCCCTTTATTAAACCTTCGTCAAATTACCTAGTTCAAGTTTGTTCTCTGTTCTCTACTAATCTCCTGACTGATCCTGGCACCAGAGTCCTGATGACACGAGTCTCGCCTTTTTGGTGTTGGATTTACTGCCTGTCTCCCAAGTAGCTCCCTGTCGGGTAATATACTCATTTTACAGGTGAGAAAGCAGGCTCAGAAAAATGAGGAAAGGAGTTACACAACAAATAACTTGGGGGGCGCCTGGGTGGCTCAGTTGGTTAAGCGTCCAGCTCTTGGTTTTGGCTCAGGTCATGATCTCATGGTGCGGAAGTTCGAGCCTCACATCAGACTCTGTGGTAACAGCGCAGAGCACGCTTGAGATTCTCTCTCTCTCAAAATAAACAAACTTAAAAACCAAAAAACTTAGAACCAGTGGTCAGCCCAAGCTCACCAGCCTCTAAAACCTGTGTTCTTCTCACTATTTGTCGTGTCTTCACACTTAGAAGATCATACAGTCAGACTGGATCCAGGTGACAGGAGTTTAAAGATTTTTAATGATTTTCCTTGGGGAAATCAGAAAATTTCCATTTTAATGGAAATCAGAAGGTTGGGAAGAAAGATGAATGTGGGGCACCTGGCTGGCTCTTGGTGTCATGAGTTCAAGCCCCGCATAGAGCTTACTTAAGAAAATTACCCCCCCCCAAAAATGTGTTGATACTTCCTATAGAGAATTTGATATTTTTTATTAATGGGAAGCAGTAAAGCATTTTGGAATACTACATGGTGGTGTGTGAATTCTTAAACTTCCAGTTTCTGAGGATGGGTTTCAGGGAGCGAGGAGCCCCTTGAAAACATCTGTAAAGAATAGGTCTCCGTAGTGTATGATTTCGGGGGTATGAGTGGAGTTCTACAGCTTTAGAAAGATTTCAGTTTTGTTACCCAAACAGGTCCTAGAATGTGATCAGGAAGACTTGGAGCCACATTTATATGGTTAGTGATTATTTTTCCCAGCAGGGCAGAAAATAAACAAGCTTTCGGTAATCTACCTATGGCACTGAATCTATGCTTAAGAGCCTCATTTTTTACTGAATCATAAATTACTCGAGAAATTAATCTCTTCTTACTACCAACTGATTTTAGGCTCTCAGAGTTTTTGGTGTGTGTGTGTAACGTTTATTCATTTTTGAGAGAGAGACAGACTGCAAGTGGGAGAGGGGCAGAGAGACAGGGAGACACAATCCGAAGCAGGCTCTAGGCTCTGAGCTGTCAGCACAGACCCCGACGCAGGGCTCGAACTCACAAACTGAGATCATAACCTGAGCCGAAGTTGGGCGCCCAGCCACATGAGCCACCCAGGTGCCCCTGGTGTGTGTGTGTGTGTGTGTGTGTGTGTGTGTGTGTGTGTGTGTGTGTGTGTTAATTTTTTTTGTAAGACTATCTTCTCTTTTGACATAATGCAAAAACTCAACCAAGGTGGACCGTGCCTTCTTGTACCACCCCCGGCGGAAACGGACTGGTCAAGGTGCTTGGTTTCCAACACAAGCATAAGAGACAGGAGCCCCTGATATTAATAAAACATTAGGCCAAACAACTGCTTTCCCTAGGAAACCAAATCAGAGGATTGGTTGCTCTACCAAAACATTTGATGGCAAACGTGATAGACAGCAGGGTCAGAGGAAGGAAAGTCTATTGGGTTGTTCATGCCACTTGTTAAAAAAAAAAAAAAAAGTCTGCTTGGTCCTGCAATTCCACTGCTGGTGTCTGGCAGCCATAGCTTTCAGCACTGAACTTCTGGTTCCAACCCTGGGGTAGAATTAACGACAGAGGAGAAACACAGCTTACTACTAATCTGTGCTTTCTCGGGAAGGTGGCCAGCGGCTGGCAGCAGACACACCGTACACCGGTTAAGATGACAACCCAAGAAAACTATAATTAAATCTCACCATAGTTTGGCTGGTCATGACAGCATGGTCCTCTGAGCCATCTGCCTCCCCCACTACCCCCAACCAGCCTTAACCGTTTTCATCAACTGGACAAATTGTGCAGGTGTATTACATTACATAGCAATTTCAGCCCACTCTGTTAGGGGACTGATCATCCACTTCGTATTATATATGCTAATCTTAGGATATTCTTTTCTTATTTTTTCATGTTTATTTTTGAGAGAGAGAGAGAGGAGAGAGTACAAGTGGGGAAAAGGGCAGACAGAAGGAGACACAGAATCTGAAGCAGGCTCCAGGCTCTGAGCTGTCAGCACAGAGCCCGACGGTGGGGCTCGAACCCGTGAATCGTGAGATCATGACCTAAGCCAAAGTTGGACGCTTAACCAACTGGGCCAACCAGGCGCCCCATGGATATTCTCTTCTTAATGCTTACTGTTTAGACTTCTACTAAGGCAGTTAAAATGGAGAAAACTATATGCTGAATGGCTAATAGTTTAATAGAAGTCTGAAGAAAGCAGAATACAAGATAACGAAGAGGACATGGCGAACCAGTTTATAAGAAAAAGTACAAAATATTTAAAATGTTTGACATGAATGAGGATGGATGAGATGATTGTTGCTTTCTTAATAGGTCAGTTCCTTCTAGGAATAGAGCACTTGAAAGTTGGAAATGTAAGGGGGTGTGGAAGGATGAAGTTAGTGATGTGGCATGGAAGAGTATGAAGTACCTTCTCTCACTTTGTTCTTTTTCTTTTTTTCTGCCCCCCTCACCACCACTCTCGGGGGCCTCTGGCAACCATCAATCTGTCCTCTGTATCTATGAGCTTGGGTTTTTGTTTTTGTTTTCTTAAGATTTCACATTTGAGACATCACTTGGTTGTTTTTCTCAATCAGACTTACTTCACTTAGCATAATGCCCTTGAGGTCCATCCATGTCGCAGATGACAAGACTTCATCCTTTTTGTGGCTAAATAATATTCTAGTGTGTGTGCATGTGTGTGTACATGCTACAATTTCTTTATTCATCCATCCATTGGCTATTGTAAACAATGCTGCAATGAACACGGGAGTGCGTATATCTTTTCTTAGTATTTTCATTTTCTTCAGATAAATACCCCAAAGAGGAATTGCTACATCATGTGGTATTTCTATTTCAAATTTTTTGAAGAACCTTCGTACTGTTTTTCATCGCATCTGCACCAATTTACATTCTCACCAACAGTACACGAGGGTTTGCTTTCCTCCATATCCTCACCAACACTTGTTATTTCTTGTCTTTTTGATACTGGCCGTTCTGACAGGTGTAAAGTGATAGCTCGCTGTAGTTTTGATACGCATTCCCCTGATGATCACTGATGTGGAGCATCGTTTCATATGCCTGTTGGCCATCTGTTATGTCCTGGGAAAAAAGGTCTATTCAGATCGTGTGCCCATTTTTAATTGGATTATTTGTGGGGTGTTTTTTGCTATGGAGTTGTGAGTTCTTTATAGATTTTGGGTACTGGCCCCTTATCAGGTATCTGACTTGCAAATATTTTCTCCCATTCAGTAGAGTTTAGCTTTTTGTTTTGTTAGCAGTTTCCTTTGGTGTGAGGAACATTTTAGTATTATGTGTTCCCACTTATTTTTGCTTTCTTTCCTTTTGCCTTTGGTGTCAGGTTAAAAACAAAACAAAACAAAGCATTGCCAGGACTTATTGTCAAGGAGCTTACCGACTATACTTTCTTCTAGGAGTTTTATGGTTTCAGGTGTTACATTCAAGCCTTTAACCCACTTTGAGTTAATGCTTGTGTATGGTGAAAGGTGGCGGTCAAGTCTCATTCTTTTGCGTGTGGCTCACCAGTTTTCCCCACGCCATTTACTGAGCAGACTGTCCCTTCCCTGTTGTATATTCAAAGCTTCTCTGTCATAAATTAATTGGCCATACATAAATGGGTTTATTTCTGGGCTGTCTATTCTGTTTCACTGATCTATGTGTCTGTTTTTATGCCAAGACCATATTGTTTTAATTATCTAGCTTTGTGATATAGTTTGAAACCAGGGAAGGTGATCCCTCCAGCTTTGTTCTTTCTTGAGATTGCTGTGGCCATTCCCAGGGTTTCTCACTTCCCTCCTCTACCAGTAAGAGCGTCCACAGATTATCTCTAACTGGAGAGAAAATAAAAGTCCATGACTTATAAGATCTTTTGCCTACCAAAGCTGGTCTGCTCTCCCCCAAACACTCTTCTTCCCAGCAGATGGAAAGTTCTACAGCTGTGTGTCCAAATACAGTCACCTCTAACCATATGCAGCTATTTAAGATTAAATGAAAATAAATTAAAAACTAAGTTCCACATTTCAAATCAACACAGAGCTTGCCACGGGGCTCGAACCCACGAACCATGAGATCGTGACCTGAGCTGAAATCCAGAATCGGATGCTTAGCCGACTAAGCCTCCCAGGCGGCCCCCCTAACGTATGCATTTATTTTTAGTAACGAGGATAGGCTCTGCCCCTTTTGTTGTGGCCCTCTGTAACGGGTGCCTAGCCTTTTCCGTCTTGGCCTTGGGAAGCTAAGTGTGCTGGGCTCAGACCTGTGACCCCTGAGGTCATGCTCTATGTCATGAGGCTAATCGGCAGACATCACTTGAGAACAAACGAACAGCTGGCACATGTGTACCTGGAGAAGCATTTCTTCCTGGTCTAGATTCCCTGGTTCAGGAGTGGTTTCCAGCCCCGACTGCCTGATGGTAAACACTGGTTTTGGGGAGCACACGCATTTGAAGAATGTGGCTTTAAGCTCCGGGCTCAATTAGTTTAAGTGGTTTGTGTAATGAATTCGCTCAGTGTTCTTTCCTCGCTGGAGATGTGAACCGGCACTATATTTGGAACTAACATTTGCAACCCTATACACCGCTGCCCGGGTGTGCAGTTACAGATTTTGGTTGTTATCACTGTTAGCTGGATTTAGGAAGTTTGATGGTGACGGATTTCACTTTGATGAGAAGAGAGCGAGCTGGCTTAGGGGGAGGAAAAGAAGACAAGAGTGCCCTTCACCCAGATGGCCTCCTGCAGGGACTCAAGCCCGCTGCAGCTGTTGAAATGAGGCCACGAGTCCCTCCCGCCTGGCCCTGCTTACCTGCCTGGTGCCTCCTGCGTGAGCCCACGAGGCCGTGTTAACTTCCACTCTTCCACTTTCCCCATTCACTTGCCTGGACCTCACTGCTTCTGCCGAATAAACAAACGGCCCGAGTGTGCGGCACACCCAGGGGAGACCTGAGATGGGAATAGTGTGGGCACTTTTGAATATCCTTGCCATCAGTGATCCCCGTGTGGCCACCCCACACGGGGTGGTGGACAGAGGTTCTCACTGGTGTGTGAGCATCAGAGAAACAACAGGAGTTGAGAACAGCACCGCCTTTCCTAGTAATCATCAAATGATACAGTGACACTGTGTTCTAACCTCACAACCTGCTCTGTGATATGGGGACATGGGTGGTTTGATCACTAATCAAAGGGCTGGTGAAATACCCCGAAATATTAGTGAAATAGTGAAATTGTTTATTGAAGTATCAGAAGAAGCTTGTTAGGAAAGCCTGATAGAACTGGACTTAAGGGCAGTATTCAAGGCAATATTCTTTTTTTTTATTTTTAAGTTTAAAGTTTTTAAGTTTACTGTAAGAGGGAGAGAGGATGGGGAAGGGGCAGAAAGAGAGAATCCCAAGCTGCACTGACAGTCCAGAGCCCGATGTGAGTCTTGAACTCACAAAACCATGAGATAATGACCTGAGCCGAAGTCGGGCGCTTAACCGACTGAGCCACCCAGGCGCCCCTCAAGGAAAGATTCCAATGCATTATTTCCTATGGAATCCAGACATTGGGCAATGGTCACAAAAGCTTTCAGTACAAAAGAATATTGTACTGGGCACTGAGGCTCCAGAATCAAATAAGGCAGATTTGGTCTCTGCCTTGTAGAGCTTACAATCTAGTAAGAACAAGAAATAGTGAATGAGTGGGGCGCCTGGGTGGCTTAGTCGGTTAAGCGTCCGACTTTCGCTTAGGTCATGATCTTGCGGTTCGTGGGTTCGAGCCCCGCGTCGAGCTCTGTGCTGACTGCCAGCTCGGAGCCTGGAGCCTGTTTCAGTCTGTGACTCCCTCTCTCTCTGACCCTCCCCTGCTCACGCTGTCTCTCCTAGAAATAAATAAAAATATTTAAAAAAAAAATAGTGAATGAGTTACTTCTAAGTGTGATGGAGTTTTGGAATGGAAAGTGCAGGATAGTATAAGAGAACATTACTAGGGAATCCAATGTGGCCTGAATGTTCAGGAAAGGCTCCCATGAAGAAATGACGTTAAACTGAGGCCTGGAAGACGAGTAGTTGCAAGCCAGGCAAAGAGAGAGGGAGAAGTGTTCTACGCAGAAGAAATAGCATGTGCAATGGGCCTATGGCTGAAAAGAACCTGACCTACCTAAGGAACCAAAGGAAATCTGGAATAGCTGGAACAAAGAGAACTCTGGGGAAAGTATGAAAGAGAAATCCGGAGAGGTGGGCAAGGGCCAGACTAGGGAGAGACTTAAGGCCACATTAAAGATCCCATACTGGGGGCACCTGCATGGCTTAGTTGGTTAAGTCAGCTGAGGTCATGATCTCATGGCTCGTGAGTTCAAGCCCCGCGTCGGGCTCTGTGCTGACAGCTCAGAGCCTGAAGCCTGCTTCAGATTCTGTGTCTCCCTCTCTCTCTGCCCCTTCCCCCCGACTCGTGCTCAGTTTCTCTTTCATACAGATGTAGATATGACATTAAAAAATAGATATAGATAAGCAATACAGATAAACATTAAAAAAATTTTTTTAAGATCCTATACTGGGGCACCCGGCTGGCTCAGTCAGTGGAGTGTGTGACTCTTCATCTTGCGGTCTTGAGTTCAAGCCCCATGTTGGGCATAGAGATTATGTACAAGAAAGAATATTTTCTACTTTAGGTAAAGTACAATGGGAGACCATCCCTTTCCTCATCTGTAACATGAGAATAATAATACTCCCTCACAGAGTCACCAAGGGAACAAAATGGAGGATGCACGAGGAAGGTCTCTGTCAGGTACAAAGCATTATAGGAATACTTCACTGATAGAATATCAGCCGCGGTGATAATGAGCTGTGCTGCCTTCTTAAGCAAAAGAAGTAACAGTTCAACCCTCTTTCTAAGTGGCAATATGAAGTAGTCCATAAAACCCTGACTTACTCAAGGGAACTGATGGAAAGGTCAGAAGTTTATTTCGGTCAAAATTCCCAGCATGTGGTTCATGAAGCCCAGGGATGAGCTCAGATGTTTGGAACAGGAGCACACCATTTATGGCCATGTGTGTTTCTCCGCTCCATACCAGCTCCCCAACACCACTTCCAGGAAAGATCCGGATTCCACTTCCTCAAACCCACCAGAGCGGAACCACTAAGACATCCTTTCCTCTTGACTTCTTCCTGCGAGTGCCCAGCCCGGCGTCTCCCAGGATAGCTTTTGTAGAAACGACCATCATTCCAAAGCCTTACACTCCTCCGAGCTGGTCGCGGTAAACTAATGATCCCACTGAGCACCTGCAGGACACTGTAGGAAAATCGCGACACCTTTCCAAACCCGTGACATCCTATTCTTCTGACGGTTCTGCGAAGACGCTACAATGAAATCTCCGAATGGGTGCAAAACCCGAGGTTCGCCTCATTGCAAACATGTAGTTTCTCTTTGGCCTACATAATGCTTTTTAGATCTTTTTGGAAATTTATGGGGTGCCTGGGTGGCTCAGGCGACCAACTTCAGATCTCACGGTTCATGAGTTTGAGCCCTGCCTCAGGCACTGTGCTGACAGCTCAGTGCCTGGAGCCGGCCTCAGATTCTGTGTCTCCCTCTCTCTATGCCTTTCCCCCACTCTCTCAAAAATAAACAAACATTAAATCTTTTTGAAAATTTAAATGCCGGTTTTTAAAAACCACGGCATTTTACATAAAAATCCAGATTTCCAGTTTATCTGAATCATAAGAAGATCTGTCTGCAAACTGTTGGGAGCTGAGTACTGACTTACATGACCAGCTTTTTTTTTTTTTTTAAATTTTTAAAGTTTTTTTAATGTTTATTTTTGAGAGAGAGAGCGCACGTGCGTGCATGGAGAGGGAAAATGAAAGGATCCGAAGCAGGCTCTGTACTGTCAGCTCAGAGCCCGACGTGATCTCAAACTAGGATCATGATCTGGGTGGAAATCAAGAGTCTGATGCTCAACCGACTGAGCCACATAGGTGCCCCAAGATGATAATTTTTTAAGCCACAATTAAATTTTTAAAATGCTTCTCTGGGAGGATGGGCCAAATGGATGACGGAGAGTGGGAGATAATAGGCTTCCAGTTACAGAATAAGTTGCGGGGGTCAAAGGTACAGCATAGAGAATACAGTCCATGGGACTGTAATAGCATCATGCGGTGACAGGTGGCAGCTGCCCTTGTGAGCACAGCATAACGTATACAGACTTGTTGAGTCACTGTCTTTACACCTGAAACTAATACAACACTGTGTGTCAGCCATACTTCAATTTTTAAAACCTTACATAAAATAATAAATAAAAATCCATCGATTTTAATGGATTGGCATTTAAAGTGCGTCACTAGGTGTCAGGAGACCCAGGTTCTGCTAGAGGCTTCAACGCTGACTTCTATGATCTGGGGGCAAGGCACTCTCTGGAACTCGTATCCTTTTGTGCAAAATGGGAGGGTGGAAGAGATGCTAATAAAAACACCAGTCTTGGTGCCGGGTGGATGGATGGGACGGTGCTGAGTGACTGAACACTCTGGAGATAAAGGGTCGCCATCTCAAACCTAGGTAGGTTAGGTTATGGTAGGTAAATCTTAGATAGGTTGAAAAAAAAGCCAAGGTCTGTGTTAGGTGCCAGAGACTTACGGAGGAAAGAACAAGAGCCTGCCCTCAAATTGCTCGCAGCCTAGTGGAAAAATAAAAATGGAACTAGAAAAAAATTTGCAGTATAAAGTGTTAAGGGTCAGTCTAACATATGCAGAATTCAAATATATTGGACTTATCTTCTCTATAATGGGATGAAGGTTGGGTATACACAGGGGTATGTTGTTTGGGTAAATCAAAAGGTCTCAAAGTAGGGATGCCTGGCTGGCTCAGTAGGTAGAGCCCGAGACACTTGATCTCAGGGTGGTGAGTTCAAGCCCCAGTTTGGTCAAAAAGCTTACTTAAAAAAAAAAAAAAAAAAAAAGTTCTCAAATGAGTGAGCAAAACATACATTTAAAGCTTCAGACAATCTCTTCCAAGTGTTTAGCTTAAAAAAGAAAAAAAATGTATGTGTGTGTGTGTATACTTGTATACTTCTATCCATAGCCTTTTGCTTGGACCCAATTTTCTTAGAGCCATTTTAATTCAACAATTTAATTTGTGAATGTATTAATTTACTGACTGAATTCAACAAACTCATTTCCTGTTTAACCACAAGAAACCCCGGGACACCTGGAGCAAAGAGAGTTCCTGCTGGCTGGAACAGTCTGCAAGGAGGAAAGGCCATGTGCGCTGGGGTTGGCGGAGAGTGATCCACTCGGTTCCACCATCATGCCTCCATAAATAGGATTCACAGCCAAGTTCTGTAGTCTGTGGTTAAGCTTTGTTTCTTTTTGTTGTTGTTGTTGTTGTTCTTTTAACTTTCCTGGAGTTATTAATGATAAAAAAACAAAGTCATTTCTGTTTGCTTCGTTTTCCATGTCTCTATAATGAATTCGTTCTCCACTATCACTCTAAGGGTGTTTCTTCTATTCATTATTTCTTGGAGGCGTCCTTTCCGGGGCCCTGTGTCTTCCTGCCCCAGTCTCAACTGATTACTCTCCAGGCCTGTTGCCAAGCCATCTGTCACCCTGGGACTTCCCTTCATCATCATCACCTTGGGGATTCTCTTCATTTCTCACCTAGGTCAAATATTCTGTCTCCAGGATCACATTTCTTCCTGTCTCTTGGTTTCTTCTCTCAGTTTGATGTGCCCCACCCTCCAAGAGGTTTCCTGAGAAAGCATCCATGGGTAGGAAGTAAGGTTTTTAAGATTTCACATGTCTGAAAATGTGCTTACTTTACTGAATTCAGAATTTGGCTAATATCTAAAGCCATGAGCCATAAATCATGTGAAAGTGTTTCTCCACGGTCTTCCAGCATGGCTGATGAGAAGCACCCGTGCCATTCTGACAGCTGTTCCTTCGAACATGACCTGTTGTTGTTTTAAATCTCTGTGA